GATTATTCGCTGGCTGCCTCACACGTGGAATTTTTCACTTCCTACTTGCAGTGAAGACACAACTGCTGCAATCGGCTGGAGGAGGCTCACGGCAGAGGTTGCAGCATTTTTTTTGTGTGTTTCTACATGTGAAGCATGGTTAAGTAAGAGGTGTGTGTTTCTGAAAAAGAGCTGGAGACACAAACTGCCCCTGGACACCGGGCTGTCCTCTCAGGAGCAAAACTGTTTTTTTTCGTAAACAGAAGGATCTCAAGAAATCTTTTGAAGGACAATGTGAGTGAGTACTGTTTTGTTACAGGGGAGAGAGGCAGGAATGTGAAGCTCAAACTATCCAAGCGAAGATTTGAATCAAATTCTTGTCATTTTTGTCAGTGGAGTCTTTACCTGTAAGATATAACTGATTCTAAACTAATAGAATCTAAATAAGAACATAGAGATTAACTAATTACTTAGATCTACTGAGAGTAAAAAGTAATGTTACTTTTACAAATACAGATGATCCACTCGAGCTGCTGCCCTTTTCCGACTGGTCAAAGCAGGAAATCTGGACACTCCTGCTGTCCAGTTCCCCAGAGACCTACAAAGCATGTCAGCATCTGCTGCTCAACATTTTAGGTTTCAGGCCTCCATAATGTTTTCCTAACAAGCCTAAATGAACCTTTATGAGATCATTTACAGCTTGGACCTAAGTGAAGATAAATAGATTAGCAAGAGGTCAGGCATACAGGATTAGCATTAAAAGCAGAGTTGATTTTTTGTCTAAAAAAACAAAACACAAAGGCAGGTACATGCAGGTGGATACTTAAGCCCTGAGGTAGCTGCAAACAGCTACTTTAAAGGAAAAAAATCACATGCCTATAAGGCAAAAAATGAGAAATAGGTAGTTATTATTATGTAATGTTTGTACTGAAGAATGCTGTCAACTACAGTGCATGAAAAATGGAAACTGACCTGAGTTGAGTGGTTCTGGATTGAGCACTGTCTCCATCTTTACTTGCAGGATCAGCTTCAGACTTGCCTACATTTTCTCTTACAACCTCTTCCAGTTCTGTGGTCACACATGGATCCTGGCCAACACCATTGCCCGGTTTTTCACATTTGGTCGAGGTATGAGGACTGAGGAGCAAATCGAACAGCTTTTTAAAACGGCCTCCATCTTTTCTGAGTAAAGAGAAAACCCAACTGTGTCGTTGCAGATGCTTTAGCAGACACGTTTTACTCGGTGGGCTTCGTGATGAGTCTGTGCCAGCTCCTGTCCGTCCTGGAGCTCTTCCACATCGCTGATGGGATCGAGAAAGCCAGACTCCTTCCTCGCTTTGTTCAAGTGACCCTCATTCATCATTTAATCATTCATCTGTTTGTTAAGAAGCCGTGCATGACGTGGCTCTCTTTTTATTTTCAGGTGATGGAAAAGAATGTTCTGCTTATGATAGTTATCATGCTGGAGGATATCCAGAGTAAGCCGGTGGTGTGTTTGCAGCTCTTCTTGTGGAATATTCTGGACCTCTTACGGTACGCAGAAAGGCCATGACATTTCTTATATCATTATACAGCATTGGGAAAGGAGTGCAAAGGAAAGATTTTTTTTATGTTTCATTTCAAAATTGATACAAGAATGATACAAGTTATTGCAATTGCGAGAAGCCGTAGGATCTCTGAACTCACCAGTTGATTTCAATAGTGTAGGTTTTTAAAAGACTATGGTCATGAACAAACTTGCCTGGGCCACTTCCAAACTCACCAACAAGGCCCTAACCCTAACCCTAACCCTAACCCTAACCCTAACCCTAAGTACTCGTCATCGAGGGGCAAAGAGATCAAATGAAACCATACTGGAGCTTCCCATGGTGAGATTAGAAGTCCCATGTTGCATTTCGTAGTAGTCAACATCAAGAGCGGCTAATGTTTCAGGAAATTGAAAAACATGTTTTGCTCATTGAAAGACAATTCTGTCTTTTAAGTGCTTGGAGAAAGCAACTCTTCGCAAATGGAACTATAAAATAATCAAATAACATGGGTCATTATCTCAACATGCTGAGAGCTTTAGTGTCTTTTGCTGATTTTTCTCATTAGCATAAGCCAAAGAAAATTATTGGAAATTAAGAAATGAAGGACGGTGCTTGAAGTTAGCAGGATATATCAGAAAATTAAAGATGGAGTTTAACACTCAGTATGTAAATGACCTTAAGCATGCTACTAAAAACAAGACTAGCAAGGTTAAAGAGAAAAAACGTCAGCCATCTTTGATCGACAGTCAAAGCTCAGAGCTCTGCTTTAGAATCTGCTGTGTTTAGACTTAAAGATTTATAAACACTCTGTGCCCATTCAGTGGTTCTGCATTGAAGAATCGGCAAAAAAATACTTTTTAATGTGCAAATCATAGAGACGTGAGCGAGTCCTTTGATGGAAACAGTCATTGTTACCCTTCAGTGGACTTTTTCTCAAGGATGTTGTTTGAGAGGAAAGGATGAACAGGATTAAGCCAGACCGTCCCCTCAATAGTACCACAACACATTTGTAAAGACTTTTGTTATTTCATAGTTGGGCCAGTCGCATTGTTTGGTTACAACAACAAAAAGGTCATAGTTTTGGCCTAAATACACCCTTTGTACAACCAGATTGTAAGACTTTTGTGTTGTTCTTCCCTGTTAAGGTTGACCCACAAACTCAAATTTGGTTCCAATTGGCAGATAATTTAAGAATGAGGAAAATTTAAAAGTACAACAAGCTTGTAAGATTAAACAATTCTTTGTAAGGAGCGACGGGGTCTGAAACGTCTCCATGCAGCTTACATTTAAATGATTATTCCTCTGGTCAAAACAGTAAGATAGGGAGAAAAAATAGCCAGAGGATGAAGAAAAATGTTACAAAAAGTTCAATTCCATGTTCTTAATTTCCTTGAAAAAAGAATAGATCCAACAAAAGACTGGATAAGAAAAATTCCCCAACATTTCACGGTGTTTGGTGTTCTAACAGGTACCCTCATGAGCTGCTGTGTGTTCTGGACACGCCCTCCACCACCATGCTGTGGGTCCGCTACTCCCTTTGGATCCCTTTCTACGTCCTGTCAGCCACCACTGAGGGTAGGCCTGCACGATTACTGCCATCATTTTGTGAGTCAGGAATTCCTAGCCTGAGCGGTGCTTTGTGGGGGTACTGAGGAAATGAGCTGACACAGAACATGACATAGTAACAACTCAGGAAGTGTGAAAACACTTTCCAACTGAGTGTGTGCTGACCACTGTGAGCAACACACACGCCTTATTCTCTACAAAGAAAATAAATAAATTGACCCGTTCAAAACATTACTACAACTGCTTTGAATGCTAACACTGTGAAGTGTGAAGTAACTTGCTCCGTTTTAGCTGTGTTTCTCGTTCTGTTTCAGTTTTTACCATTTACCAGGCCCTACCTTACATCAGAGCTACAATGTCCCACCCCATGGACGTCCACCTGCCCTTGGCCCTGGTGCTCTACCTGTCCGCTCTGGCTCTGGGTAAGGGAAAGAAAAGACCGGACTGGTCAAACAGGATTAAAATAATTGGATGTCACAGAGTAGGAATCAGGTTACAGGGGTGTTTCTTGTGGTCAATTCTTGGTAAAAGTTGATTGGAAAGTGTTCCGGTGTGTAGCTGCCCGCTCATCACAGAGATTATGTCTGTCATCATTTGAAAATAAAGTAAAAATCTCACCATTTTTTAAATATTTCTTGGCCTTAGCCCCTCATCCCGACACACATTTTTAATCCTGTTAAAAGAGGAGTCCCGGGCTTTATCTCATTTTCCAATTTGTACAGACTCACTTCCTCCCCTCAACTTCCCCCGGCCTCCATCCCTGCCCCCCCCCACCCGAGGAGAAATAGACAGGCGGGACAGGCTGTCCACAAGATAAGACAGAGCCATGTTTAACCGTTTCTTAATTCCATTTCAGCGCCTAACTCGATATTTCCGTTATACATGTCACACTTTTACTGCTACTTTAGTAGCATGCCACACAGTGTTTACACGCTGTGGTTGCCAAAAAGGCTTTTGGACACCAGGCTGCATGCTCCTCAGGGCTTCTCCAGAAATTTGCTTCTCAGCAATCCCATAAAGCCCCAAAGAGTGAGGAGTAAGAGGGACAAGTTGACTGGCTGTTTGTGTGTGCGTCTACGCTACAAAATACATAACACACACACAACTTAAGTCATGTGTGAGTGACCCAGGGTTGGCGGAGTTTTTGGCCATATTATTTATTCATATTCATTCATTCATTCTTTAATAGTTTAAGACAGGTATGTCTTCCATCAGTTCTCTTTAAAAGACTGTACACTCATTACCGTGAGTCAAGATATAGTCAAGAGATTTCTCAAAAGATACAATATTGGACAGACCCTCTGAGTAGAGCATCCTGGATGTCCCAGAGTGTCAGTTTCACCATTGTGGACACTTTTGTGGTTTAATTATGGTCGATGTTCTACAGTAAACGACCCAGAGTATTTAGAAGGGAAAGCTTGGATAAGCAGGCATCCAGTGTTTGGATGAATATCGGCACAAAACATTATCTGCTCAAAGAGATTTCAAATGAGCAGACAACCACTTTCTAAGAGTAGAAGTGTTTTTTTTCAGGGGCCTCAGTGACAGTCTGGCAGCTGCTGAAGGAGAGAAAACACCTACTGGACAAACGGAGCAAGAAGAAGAAGATAAAATAACAGGAATGGCCAAAGAATGAACTGTGAGCAGTTTGAGTCTTTCAGGAATGCAAACTATAATAAGATAATGTAACGATGTGTTGCAATTAGGAGCATTTTGAAGGAAAAAAAAACACACAAAATCAACTTTGTTACAAAAGCATTAGAAGTATCACCTTTAATGACAGATCAGACTTCTTATCAATACTTTTACTGACCAAATATGAGATACAGAGACTGTCCAGAAGCCCCCACTTCACTGTGTCCAACCAGCCGGGCCAGAAAGGACCCTCAGTGTGCGTCGCCATGGCGACAGCACATTGTCCTTCCTCTACCAGCCATAAGCCCTGGTCCACACGGCTTTCTTCCTGAACTCAGCGGAGGACTTCAGAGCCAGGAGAGCAGCTGAAAGGACAGCAGACCGGTCAGCAGCTGGACCTCTGGAGCCTGTCCTTGAGGTTTATTTAATAGAAAAGTATTTACTCAGCAAAAAATGACACCTGCGGATCAACGTTCTAAACGTTAAATTAAAGGTTCATAATGGATGTGCACCTTTCTACCCGTGTGAATGCCAACTAAGTACTTTGTACTTTTTTTTCTTCTTTTTGTGTTTTATTGGAATCATAACATTGTGTCTTCCTGAGAAAGGCTCCATGGAAAAACCTTGGATTGTAACTGTAGAGAAAAGGGCTCGCAACAACTGACTATCTGAAGAAATCTTGAAATAATAACTGAATGGTGCAGATTTCACACAATTCAAAGTCCCCATGTGGCAGTTTTTTTATGTAATCTATCCACCCATTGTCTAAACTGCTTATTCTGAGTAGGATCACAAAAGACCTGGAGCCTATTCCAGCTGGGCCAGTCCATGGATATGTTATTAGATCATGCTAAAAAAAACAAATCTATAATGCCTCTAGGACTATGCTGGAAAAAAGGAAAATATTTGTTCTACTTAAAGTTGCATTGTAGAACAACAACTATTATCTTTAAAAAAAATTTAAATAATTTCCCGTGGCTTTATAACTGCTTTGCAAAACCTTTTTTTCATTACTTTGGTATTAATCATTAACAACTGTTTATTCTTGTATTCATGACACTGATCGGATTTTTTTGGCTTGTTTATGTGTATCCTTGTAAGCTGCTTTGGATAAAAGAACACTCTAATGGCATAAACAGAAAATGTAAATGCGAATTTAAGCTTGTTGCAACCTCCAATTTGACCACAAGATGTCAGGAACTCCTGCACGCTGATGTCTGTGAGTGAGTGTTGTGTTACCTTTGGCTGTGTTGATGGTGGAGGCTGACAGATTCTGCTCAGGACCTTCTGTCACGCTGAGGAGCCAGTCAATAAACTAAAACACAACACACAGTTAGCACATGAGACCCAAAACCCATCTCACATACAGTGGGGGAAATAAGAATGCTTATTTTTCCTAATCAGATGGTTATCAATTTTTATAAATTCATATGATATGATTTTCAGGAATTTTCTTTGGGATTCTGTCTTTCACTGTTAGAATGTACATATGATTAAAGTTATAGATCGTTGCATTCTTTGTAAGTAGGCAAACCTGCAAAATCAGCAAGGGGTCAAATACTTATTTCCCCCACTGTATGTGGAATTATGCAAAAAAATAAGAGCTCTGCAGGCGGATGTTCGGTAGGAACCCTAACCTTGTGAGTCTGGGCGCTCCAGGGCTCTTTACCCAGCAGCAGGGGTAGGCTGTGGGACACGGCCAGCATGCACCGGGGCAGGGCCCCGTCCGGGAGCGACTCCTCAAAGTACAAACTGTGTGTTAATGACGCGGGCTTGGAGTCGGGCTCCCATGGAAACCACTGGGCCCTGAGGCCAAAGAGGAGGGGCATGGAGCGGTCACCCCAGGAAACTACAGCCGCTGCAAAAAGCTGGAACAGGAAGTCTGTGGCCTGCAGACAAAAGAGCAAATCGAACTTCAGTTTTTTTATATCATATCTATTATCCTAACAGTGCAGATCAAACAGGCATCAGCACATCAGACAGTCACTCAAGTAATGGCTGTTTCAAATCTAAATCCCTTAAATCCTGGTGCACATGCAGGCCCAAGCTGCTTTTACTTAAATTTACTTAATTTAGCTTAAGCAACAACCACCAGCTGTACATGAAGCTTCAGTTGTACATCCAACACTCACGTTAAGCCCAGTTCAACTGTCGGTTTAGTTGTTTGGTTACGGCTCACTAAACTATCAATCTTCAAGAATGAACCGATAAATGGTTAACTACTAAATTAGAGCACAGACTAATAATGAAAGATAACTTGTGGATCCTAAAATCTAAAACAAGAAACTACATGTCAATTGTCTACTAACAATCTTTAAAACTGGAAACTAGGAGAGCATAAAACATTTGCCTTAGTAGGAGTTCAAACATATATTATCAAAATGGCTCTGAATCTCCAATTATGCTACAGCATCTCCCCAAGTTACTCTGATGATGATGATGATGATGATGATGATGATATAGTAAACCACTGTCACACTGTTTGTGTTACTGTTACAGGACAATCCTCAAAGAAGTAAATGTAGACAGTTAAGCAGAATTATCTCATGGAAATGCAATTCCAGAATGAAAAAGATCAAATCTTTGTGACCTGACAACTGGATTAGAACATCCAAAAACCTCTTGGAATCAAGACTAAACCAGCTCACATATAAGTGAACACGGGATATTATTATGTTCCCTGTTACTCCTTCTGATTCACAAGGAAAGCTGTAACAAACTCAACAAAACATTTTCCTGGAACAATCCGGTGTACTACTGTAATCATGCAGTGTGTTTTCTGAAATACAGATCCTAAATCTTCCTGAGCTCTTCAACTGGCCAACCCTCCTGCTTTATCAACTGTCTAGCTGGATCAGGACCCAAATAAAAACAGGATGTTTTATGTTTTTTTTTACACAAACAATCTAATAGCTGAAAGCTGCACATTTGGAATATTCTAAATTGATCAAATCTGTTGTATTTGAATGATTTTGCTGGAACACTCTCAGTTCTTGACACATTGGTTTATTTAGCTTCTCCATGCCTTACATTTACATTCCCTACTTCACATGCATGGGCCATTATTACACCTTCAGCTGGCCAGTTTACTTAAAACAGGAGTGTTCACACAGTCATACGTTGAGTCTAGTGGCAACAAAACTGATTTTGGGGGGGGGGATTGTAGCATGGCTCAGAAACATACCAGCCTGGTGTCTCCACAGTCCACGGGGGTCGCTCCGTAGGCAACGTTCCGGATGTGTCCCATCAGCTCCAGGAGCCACTCCATCTGTTTAGAGACACCTGGAGAACACACACACACACACACACATCGTCTGTAATGACATTTAAAGATGATTCTTTAATACTGCATTAAAAAGGAACAAAACAAAATGGCTAGTTGTTTTTTTTTAAAGACTGAAGTCAGTGGCTTCATTTTCTTGCGCAGCTTAGGAGCCCATAGGAGGAATCCTGAAAGCCTTTTCAGTGGTTTCTGGGTTGACCTGTGTTGGGGCCGGCAGCCAGACCGGACTGGTAAAAGGTCAGCAGGAGGAGCCAGCCTACTCTGCGGCTGGGCCAGCCACGCAGCACCCCCGCGATGACATCATTGAGACTCAGAAGGGGGAGCCTGCCCTGAGAGGTGAGGTAGGACAGGAGGAAGCAGGTCTTTTCCATCTGAGCCTAAACGGGACACAGATAAATGAATCTGACGTTAAATACAGGGAGATCACCTCACATTGGAATAGAAACACAAAATCCCTGTAAAATACAGCATGTATTGTACAGAGATTTGTCTGAGCTCAGGTGTACCTCTGAAACCTGAACGATCCTGTCGATTTCTGTGTCCGACATCTCAGACAGACACTTGGCGACGCCCACATACAGATCCACCTCTGCATCCTGAAACAAACACGCCTTGGATGAGCTGGAGACCATAACTTAGACCACATGTCGCTGATAAAATGCTGATGAAATGTCAGGCTGAGCTCTAGTTTAGGGGGGAGGCGGGCTGTACTAGAGGATGACACGGGAGTGGATTTTCACTCCTGTCCCGTCCCACTCCCAGACCAAAGTTTAAAAAATAATCCCATCCCATCCCGCTCCTGGTAAATTGACTCCCGCTCCCATCCCGCTCCTGTTTAAACTGACTCCCGCTCCTGTACCGCTCCCATATATTTTTTTTCTTCAATTAGTGTTTAGTCTTACAAGCAGCGTACATCGTGCTAGCACCATCACATTCTACTCTCATAAACTATTATAATATTTCAGACTGTGAACTTAATAGACATGTCATTACTTCTGACTTTGCGCTGTAAATCATTTTTTGCCACATCGACTTCTCCGCGGCTGTTAGCTCCCTCCATCACTGCTCTTTGAATTCCGGCGGTAAGCCTTGACAAAAAGCCCTGATGGCTTCTGGGACGGCTGGGTCATGTAGTTATTTTTTAATTGCGTTACATTGTAGGCATAAAGGAAACTACAAAATGGTGCATTTACTTTTTTTTTTTTCCGTCTTTGCTATTGGTTGATTCCCGCTCCCGTCTGCTCCCGTTAACCATTTATCCCGTACCGCCCAAATCCCGTGATTAATAGCAAAGATGACTCCCATCCCGCAGGAATCCCGCGGGAATCCCGTGACCCGTGGGATTCCCGAAAAAATGTCAGCCTCTAGGCCAGTGTTTTTCAACCTTTTTTGAGCCAAGGTACAGTTTTTCATTGAAAAAATCTCTAGGCACACCACCAACCAAAAATGTCAAACAACTCTGTATCCGCCTATAGTAACACTATAGTTATTATTATCTTCTTAAGTGTCTTGAATAGGAATCAAATAAACACAAAAATGTATTTTATATCATATTTTATATTTCTTCTTTCAAATTGCTCTTAACATGTCCACTTCAATATACAAAATTAAACACAAAATCTAGTCATAAGGAATTATTACATGATTACTCCACCAGTCACTAGAACAGCACAGACACTCAAAAATGGCATATTATTTGCAGAAAATTATCAAAATTTTGGTGAAATAGGATGATTTTCTACGGCACACCTGGCCATCACTCACGGCACACTAGTGTAGCGAGGCACGGTGGCTGAAAAACACTGCCCTAGGCTGTACCTGGAGGCTGTCGGGCAGCAGGGCGTAGATCTTCTCCGTGGTGGAGCAGAGGATGGTCCAGCAGCTGCTGGGGGGGTTTGGCAGGGCCATGGCCTGAGCCAGGCCCTGCAGCAGGGCGCGGCACAGAGCCGGCCGCTGGGGCCGCGGGTCCTGCTGGAAGTGCTGCAGGCCCAGGCTCTCCACGCACACCTGCAGCTTATCCTCGGACACGTGCCTCATCCATGAGCCCAGGCTCTCGTAGAGGTGGGCTCGGGTCCGGGGCTGTGGTGTAGGAAGGGAGGATTCAGTTATTTCCACACATTTTTTCTACGTTCAGGCTGCAGGAGTTCAGCTGTGGTGCGCCGTGTGGAAACATAGCTGTGAGCCAGGACATTTCTAGCATTCCTGAAATGCCTTTATAATTTTGACACTATTTTTCCACATTTGGTTACAGCCCTTTTTCTAAAATGGATGAAATACATCTTTGCCCCCAAAAGTCTACACACAAAGGTATCTTTGAGTTCTTGGAAAAGGCCATAGAGAGGATACGGTCTACTACCTCTTTTTTTTCTTGTGCCACATCTGGGTCAGGATTTCTTTTTTCCATTTAAAAACTTTAAATAAAGGGCAAATATAAATGTACAGTTATACACGTGTGCTGGTTGTGAAATGCAAAGTCTTAACTTGTAGAAACCATTTAACTATTGAACCATTTAAATATTTTTGATGGCACGAACTGTTGTGCAGTCTGACAGACAAGTTACACAAGATGCTCAGGATGTTTTTGAAAAGAAAACTTTTCCTCTCTGGAGCTCTCCAGAAGGACAACCACATTAGCAGCATTCCACAGATCTGTATGGCAGACAGAAGCTGCCCCTTTAGAAAAAAAACATGGCATCCCGCATGGAGTTTTTCCCAAAAGTCAGCAGAAGGACTCTAGGAACATGAAATAAAATTCTCTGGTCTTATGAGACTGAAATGGACCAATTTGGCATGAATGTCGGGGTGTCATGTTGGAGAGAGCCCAGACTTAAATCTGAGTGGTGCAAGGATAATCATCTCCTCACTGTCACCAAAACCAAAGAACTGGTTTTTGATAACTGTAAAAAAAAAACTGCCCAAAGATAGGGTGCATCAAGCTTGTGGCATCATAATTAAGATGATTGGGGCTTTACTAGCTGCAAAAGTTGCATGAGCAAAGCCTGTGAATACTTATGTCTGTGTAATTTCCTTTTATCTAAAATAGATCTTTATAAAATCTATTCATTTCTTTGTGTTGTCATTATAGGGTTTTGTGTGTAGAGGTTTGAAGAAATAAATCAGTTTATTCATCTTCTGGAATAAGGTTAAAACTAAAGTGCTGTGAATACTTTCCAGATGCACTGCGTACCTCAATCTGAATAACCAGTAATGAACTCTGTTGTTAAGGAGTTTTTTTTTTTTAAAGGAGCTTACACTGACACTGTGTACAAGGGGGGGTGACACCCAGGAGCCCAGGAAGAGAGAGGCGTTTTTGGAAGACTGAGCTTGAGATGCTGCCAGCACCATACACTGATGCTGGACATCCTCTCCTGTCAGACATTACAAGGGGGGGGGGCACAGAAAAACCTACAATTTAGCAGTATTAACAGTGTTTTACAGCATTTGTCCTTTCTTGCAATGTGGGATTGCTCTTACCGAAGCTCAGCCTCATCAGAGGAGACAACACAGCGCTCCAGTTCAGGGGGGGGGTACTGGAAACCGCCTCCAACCGATGCCAAGGAGGCCAGAGCTGTTTTAACCACGGCTGGATGGGAAAACTCTGGACCTGGGTCCGTGGGGAAATAAGATTTTCTGTAGTGCTTTGCCGTTTGTAAGATGAAGCTGCAGTTCTGTGGAGTTGGATGGATTGGTTTTCATATGCACAAACCTTTCTTTCCAGCCTCTATGAGAAAGTCTGTGATGGACCTGATGACACTTTTCTCTGAGAGGTAACTGAAATCCTGAGGAACTGAGGAGATAGCAAGAAGAAAAAAGTGTGTAAATATTTCACTGTGGTTTACAAGCAGACTTCAGCCATCGTGTGAGGTGAATCTAAAAGAACTGAGATGACTTATACAAATAACTACAAGAAACATAGCTTTTTCTCAGGTCACTGTTGGAGGATAACCAATATTTGCACACATTGTTGCGAAAGTGCTATCCATCATTAATCAGCTTAATCCTAATTTCCAGAGTGTGTGCACACACACCTGCTGTATGACTGTGACTTGTGGACATGTGCGCCAAATACAAATGGCCCATCAAACAGGCACTGTTGGACTGCAAACCAATGGCCCCAGAATAGGTTACTATCTGCAACAGAAAGCATAAACACCGTTATCACGCTCTGGCTTATATGAAAGCAAAGTTAGCGATTAACAGCAACCAAAGAACAGTCCCCCGGTTTAGGACAATGAGAAGGGAGGAGCTTAACTCTTACCTGTGTGATGGCACGAATAACCTCGTTCAGTCTGCTCTGCTGCTGGGTGGAGAGCTCCAGCTCGCTCTTCAGCTGCCAAACACAGAAAAGGTTTAGGGCCTGATTTCTCTATTTTATAAAAAACAAAAACAGAACATTGCACTAACAGGAACAGCTACAGGAACCCAAACTGAGACATTCATTGTTTTTGTCACAGAGGGGATGAATACTCTCATTACTCTTACAACGAAACTATTTCTTGCTAACAGCAGAGCACAGACAGATAACGGATTATTAAATACACCTGCAGCCCCCCGTGAGCCAATCCAAGCTGATCCAAGGACTAAAGATCCAGAAACACTACCCATATACCTCACACACTGTGAGCAAAGCTTTTACCTGAACGAGGTAACTCTCTGATCCCACCAGAGCCACCAGCCCATTGGCAGCAGCCAGCCGCTGCATGGTGGGACAGCCCTGAAACAGAAACAGCCCGTCTGCTCACTGTGGGACTCCGAACAAGTAGAAACACAGCAAACCACATGCCGACGGGACCGAGATGATTGCAGGATAAAAAAACAAAGAAAACAACGTGTTGTGGTACCTCGGCCAGCAGGATCTTGATCCAAGCGGCCAGCAGGCGAGGGTGGATGTCCTCGGCTTTACCGTGGCCACTCACCGACAGGCCGTGGATGACCAGGCCCAGAGCCAGAGAGAAGCCCGGGGTCTGGGGACAGCGGGGACACGTCAGAGTGACGACTTTTCAAAATGAACCCTAACATGGAGCTTCAGTAATGTGCCAATTGCACTTGAGCTGGAGGTTTAGAAGTTTTTAGGCAAGAAAAATACTTAATTTGATGAGCAGAAATAAGGTGACACTATGATGGAGAATTTCTCATTTAAAAAGAGAAATTGTGGCTGGAGGAACTGGTAAGGCTCTGTCATTTGGAAAGAGTACGGTTCTCATTAGCAAATAACTTAAAGCGATTCAACAGAACGTGGCAACCCCTTCAGCAATATATTAATAACCCTATTTGAAGAGTATTTGTTTTGGTTATCGGTGTGATCAGATGTAAGTCCCAGGAAAAGGGGAGGAGGGTGGGTTGGGGGAGGTGATTGGGTCTTGAGAATGTCCTTATTTATGTCACTTTTGTTTTGTTTTAATTTTGTATTGTCTTTATGTTTTATGTTCACATACAATAAAAAAAAAGAGAACAAAGATGTATTGTTGAGGTTGTAATTCTCATGTCTGATTTCTCAATAAATCAGTTTGACAATAAAAAAGAGAAAAACAACTTGGTTTTTACAAAGCTAGGTCAGGCAGCTAGAAAGAGAACGTCCTTTATAGAAAGTAAGATGAATTAGTGGTGACTAACTCCCCCTGACCTGCTGGCTCTCCTCCGTCAGCGTGCGCACACTGTTCATGAGCTCTTCAGCCTTGTCGGCGTCAATAAGACCTCCACTGAAGGCGGAGACGCCCACACATGCCACGGAGTAGGACAAAACCTGAAGAGGTAGAGACAAAGAAAGCTGTTGACGCATCACAAAATGTCAGGGCATGGGAGACCTTCTGTTGGAGTTTGGCTTCTCTTAAAGGCCCCTCGGAAAATTGTTCTTCCAATAGAGTCAGGACTCCATTAAGAATACAAAATGCAACATTTTGAGGGTTGATAAACAAAACAGGTGCCACACTGGTAAGATATTTTAAAAGATGTTAAAAAATACACATTATTAGTAGGCAAAAAAATAAGACATACAATAATAAAAGCATTTTGATGACCACATTGACTTGAACAAGTCAAGACTAAAGACAGTAAAACAGATGAGTGAAAGGAGTTAAACCAGTTTCAGACTGACATTGAAACAATTAAAACCAATACAAATATATCAAGAAACAATAACTAATCACACCATCAATCACATAATTTACATTGTATTTATTTACCGATGACTTCCTGGAGGCAGGAGTTGTGGCTATACGAACATTGTTTTCTAATTGGGACTTCATGCTAGAACTTTCCTGCAGTGTCAGTGAGCTTAATTAAGATTATGCTGACAGCTCTAGGACCAGATTTAAGGGAGGCATTAAAGGTGTGTATTGGAATCGGTGGATCGATAATTGAGGCAAATCTCAGAGCAGCTGCTGATAATGATCTGAAATTCAGGAGCACAGAAAGATTAAGAAAGCTTAACCCTGGCTGTGTGCCTGCTAACTAATGCAGCGTTAGTAAAAAATAGAGGAGTTTATGAAGACTGCACAACCTACTTGGCTTTTGCAGCTTTCGCAGTATGTTAAATCATTGAAATGGCTTTGTTACTGAGGCTTTAAAGCCTTACAGGTCAACAAAAGTAGACTCGCTGCTCATGATCTTTCGTGCTGGGCTGCTGTACCTCTTGCAGCATGCGTCCTTGCCCGCTGCTGTCCTGCAGGCTGGCCAGTAGTTTGTCGAGGGTTTGGGTCACTCGGCTTCGGTCCATCTGTCCACTTGTGCAAAGTGACGAGAGCACCAGACCCAGACCCAACATGCAGCCAGTGCTGGGGAAAAGTAGAGAACCTTATCTTATTGGCCATCTCATGGAGAAATCAAATCCAAAAGAAATCAGATTCCCTCAATTCTTAATTAACAAGTTTATATTTATATTCAGTTCCACAATGAAAGAAGTAATTCATACAGGTTTTGAGATACTGTACAGTACAGATTACTGACTTGTATTCCAAGTTAGGGTTGAATGAGCAATTTTCCAGAGCTTCAAGAGAGCTGATGAGCAGCTCAGAGTCATGAGCAGAGACGTCACTGAGAAACAAACAGACAGATGGACAATCAGTGTCGATTCCCGGACGGTTTTAATTTCCCTCATTTCCCTTTTTCTTATATGGTACCATGATCTCACGGTCTTTAAACAGGAAAAGAAACATCTTAATAGTCTCATTTTCAGATCAGTCTCTGACGGAGGGTCTTGTTGCTGACCTGAGGCGTTGCTGGTGCAGACTGGACAGCACCATGCCCAGCGCCAGGCCCGAGTGGAACTGGACGGCCTGCGAGTCGTCGGCGGTGGCCGAGCCGGGCAGGCCGGCCCGCAGCGCGGTCAGCACCTGGACCAGCCCGTCCCTCCGCCACACCACCAGCACGGGCACCAGCAGGGCCAGGGCCAGGCCGGCGCAGGAGCGGGCGATGGCGCTGGCCGTGTTCTCGCCGGAGTACGAGCGCTGCGGGGGAGAAAAGTGTTACCTGGACCTGCTGACCGTCACAGGCCGAACGGGCTGCTGACCAATTCTGTCCTGCTGAGACCTAGCTCACTGAATAATTGGAAACAACATGCCTACAAGGACCAATGCCCACAAGATGAACTGTCTAAACTTACTGGATGTTTCTTTTCAGTAAAATCCATCAGTTCAGCCAGCACAATATTCTACCAAAGGTCAAAGGTTTGGACAGATCCTCTCATTCAAAAATGTTTGAAAAGTGTGTCCTAATGGTTGACTGGGAAGCAAAAACTTTAGATGGAATTGATAGCTTTTGAAATGAAATATAGTTAGCATACATGGGCAGAGTTTGAATGGAAACATGCTGAAACCTTAATTAAATTCCTTTTTCCTGCTACCTATGGATGTCACAGGCAGGTATTTGACACACTCAAAAGTAACCATTTAACCAGGGAACCTCAAATCCTAAAAGTCAAACCATATTGTGAATAATTCAGAACGTGAGACCTATTTTCTTCACAGCAGATGCAAATAAAGATGATTAACTCATTGACTGGCAGCCATTTTCAGAACAGAATCCCATACTGCCAGAGTTTTTTGACCATTTTGACTGATTTTTCAAGAGCCACAGAATAGTTTGTGCTATGACTATGTAAACCCCGAACACACCAAAAGAAAGAGTAGACTCTTTTCTTTCATCAGGAAAATATTTTTGTTTCTACCTTATTCCGTTCTTCCTGGACTTGCGTCTCACCGGCGACATGTTCTCTCATAGCGAACCGTTAGCTTTTTCTTATTTGCCTACAATCTATGCTCATCTCTCATCAAAAGTGGCACTGCCCCCTAGAGGGTCAATTTGTTACTACATACTCTGTCTAGAAGCCGATATTTACGGACAAGCTTTAGCAGAACGTCCCCCAGACACTCTCGTTGAAAAACATAAAAGACGTCTATAGACTACTTTGGCAGTCAACGGTTGTATTTGAATTGACGTCTATAGACGTCTTTGGCAGCCAATGAGTTAAAAGTCTCAACTCCCACCCAATGTAAATGTTGGTTATCATTTCCCATGATGCTGTGCGTACTTCAGGTAGTATTGCTGCCTAAATAAGGTGTGACAGAGTCAGTCAGAATGCTCAGAGGAAACTTACGTGTGGGAACCAGGGAAACACCTGTCCTTTGGCCTTGTAGCTGCTGCTGATGATGCTGAGCAAAGTGTCAAACACCATGCCCAACCAGCTGGCCGTGGGCACAAACTCTGGTCCAGCCTGCAAAGACAGAGCCACATTCTCAAAGCTTTTCATGGGTAATCACAGCATGCAGAGGGGATTCAGGTTTAACTCATGGGTCAGGTCTCACCCTGGTCACAAACTTTTGGAAACCCTCCCCTTTGGCAGAAGGTTGAGAACCATCAGGACCAAAACCTCACGCCATAAAGAAAGTTTTTATCCAGCAGCAACTGGCCTCATCAACGAGGCCAGTGGCCCCCACCTATTCTTCTCTCACCCCCCTCTACCCCACTAATTTACCCAATACTACGTTCAACTTTTTCTGGTTTGTCGTTGGACATTCAATATCTTATTTTATTATTTATTATTATTATTATTATTTATTTTATTTTATTCTATATTTTTATATTTTTATTTCTACATTGTATGTCGTTTCTTGTTCTCATAGAAGTGTTGTGCACCTAACACCAAATCAAATTCCTTGTAGGTGAAAAACCTACTTGGCAATAAACCTAATTCTTATTCTGATTCTGATTCTGATATTCATTATATTAGAACTAAATATTTATAAATCTATCTAACACATACACATCCATATATGTATATGGATGTACATTGCCGTATAGTTAAAGCGTCTTACTCCGAGGCTCCCGCTGCTATCGGTCGGCAGGTTGCTCTCGTACTTAGCCAGGACAGCAGCCAGGCCACTCAGAGCCAGGATGGAGTTCCCCTGGACAACAGGACTTTCTCTAAGGACCAGAAAAACCACGCAGGAATGAGACCATTTAGAATTCTTCTGCTCCAGCTGTGCACCGGTTCGTGCATTACACAGTCCTTCACGATTACTGTGGAACTACACAACCCTCATTATGAGCAATGGACTCACTTTGTAGCAGCTTTGATAACATCTGTCAGCTGATCTCTGGCCCTGAGATGGACAGCAAGACAAAGAAGACAAAAACAAGCCTTTCATGTCAGAGGAGAGCATTGATCACCTGCTTACACAGCAGATGTGTGCTAATAAGCAAAACATAACCACCTAAACCAAGTTATGGTGGGGTTGTACACAATGATAAACTTTTTTTCATATTTTGTTGCTAAAGTTTCTTTTGTTAAGTTGTATAAACAGAAAGGAATAGACTACACGTCCAGTTATGAGGCCACAGATAGCTTAATCAATAGTTGTTCTTGTCCAGATGTGAGCTTCTCACCACAGCCAGGCACAGTGCTGCTGGTACTGCACCTCCTGAGGGTTCTCTTTGCCTTGTTTCTGCTGCATTTCCAAGTCGGCGCGTCGACCCTGAAGACAAACGGGTGTAAACATTTCAGCATCTTGCTAAAAGACGCAGACACAACACAAAATAAGCGGTTTCCGTTTGGCTGCGGTATTGCGATACAGATCTTCAGTTTGCCTGAAAAGGTCCCACTGGCTATGACAGAAGCCATAAAAGAAGCCAGAGCAAAAACTAAGTCCTCAGTACATGTTCCCGATTTGTCGGCTGCATCTGACCCAGTCAGTTATGACTTCCTTCTGTCTGGACTCTCAGCATGGCCATCACAGGGAGAGCACACCTGGTTTGAATCCTACCTCACTGCTCCATCATTCAAAGTATCCTGGCTCGGTCATACTGCTGCCCACCACCCGGTCACAGGGGTCCCACAGGGTGGAGTTCTGGGACCTCGTCTCTTTGCCATTCACACCACCTCACTGGGCCAGGCCACATGGCTTCTCGTACCACTGCTATGCTAACGAATCCCAGCTCAATTTGTCATTCCACCTGACGACCACACGGTCTCAGCTCTTATCTCAGACTGACACATGAAAATGGATGAAAGCCCATCACCTCCAACTGAGTCCATCAAAAACCGGACTGCTTTTCTGTCCAGCCAACCCAACCATAAACCTCAGGGTTCACATCCAAACTAAATCTCTGTCTCTATCTCCATCAAAGGCGGTCAGAAACTTGGGTGCCATGACTGATGACCAGCTGACCTTTAAAGATGAAAGGCTCATCTCCTCAGCAGGATGATAACGACATATTAATATGAATCAGGTGTGCTGGAACTGGGAAACGTGGAAAACCTGCGGGACTGTGGGCCCTGAGGACCAGGGCGGGGAAACCCCGGTCTAGCAGTGCCTACACCACGCTTAAGACGATCCAGACTCTTTTCAGATGACGCTCCCTGATGATGGAATGACCTGCCAAGCGCTACGAGATCAGGGGCGTCCCTAAATCTTCAGGAAACTCATGAAGACCGAACTCCTCAAAGAGCATCTCCTCCCCTAACCCTAACCCTGTACCCCCCCACCCATCTACCACTCTTTCTGTACTTCCCTCTATATCTACACTGTCCCCATGTGGCCTCTAGCAGACTCTGACCAGTGATTTCCTTTCCATGTAGCTTATTGTCAGGTTGATGCTGACTGTAATGTTGAGTCTGCATTCTAAGTTGTTTAGAAAAAAAGCGTCTGCTAAACGCAGAAACGTAAACTAATACATTACATTTTTGCTTTTTAAAAAACGTGAGTACTTTAAAGTAGAAGCAATAAGACACATTAATGGCTGAGTTTGTTGATCATATGTATTTAAAAACTTTTAAAAAATATATATATAAATATAATGAAAACATTTGCTGAGCAGCAGAAAAAAAGATTTAAAAGGGGCAATTTAACTCCGAAATTAGCTATTTTAATGGGATTTTGACCTAACAAAGTAAAGGGAATGTATAGTGCTTGACTAAAATGCTATAATAACACTATAACAATAAGAATATTATCATGTGACCGAAAAAGTCAAGTTTGAAGGTTGAAGCGGGTCCAAACATTTGGTTGATGCTTCCAGTGAGAAATAGTTCAGTTGTGTTTTTTCGTTAAGTTTTTGAATTTTTGAATAAAACACAAACCTGCAGGACGGCGTGGAAAGCCCGGCTCATGTAAGCCCTCCAGGCCTGGGGCAGCAGGAGGGCCCGGTGCCACTCTGAGGGCTGGATGTTCACCTACACGCCACACAGAGTGGAGTTAAAGTATCTGGTTTATTTCTCTAATGGAGAATGCACCAAAGAGAGGAGCTATGGAAGCCGTACTTCGTGGACGAGGGCGGTCAGGGTCTGCTGGTAGCTGCGGCTTCTGCTGACCAGAAAGCGATCGATCGGCCTGCCGTCACGGTCCGTCTGAACAGGAAGCTCATAACACAGCAGCAGTCCAGCTGAAAGGCGAACACTTCTGTGAACATTTCTTATTATAATGAGCATGAAGATTAAGTTTATGTGGTCTTTGGGCCACTTTAACTGCCCTCTGTGACCCTGCTAACAAAAAATAAACCACAAACACATTGCTTATGTCCATTAATTCAGTAGACCTTTTAAAATACAATAAAAAAAATACATGTGATTAACTCATTGACTGGCAGCCATTTTCAGAACAGAGTCCCATACTGCCAGAGTTTTTTGAGCATTTTGACTGATTTTTCTAGAGCCACAGAATAGTTTGTGCTATGACTATGTAAACACCGAACACACCAAAAGAAAGAGTAGACTCTCTTCTTTCATCAGGAAAAAAAATGTGTTTCTACCTTATTCCGTTCTTCCTGGACTTGCGTCTCACCGGCGACATGTTCTCTCATAGAACCGTTAGCTTTTTCTTATTTGCCTACAGTCTATGCTCATCTCCCATCAAAAGTGGCACTGCCACTTAGAGGGTCAATTTGTTACTACATACTCTGTCTAGAAGCCCATATTTACGGACAAGCTTTAGCAGATCGTCCCCCAGCCACTCGCGTTGAAAAACATAAAAGATGTCTATAGACATATTTGGCAGTCAACAGTTGTATTTGAATTGACGTCTATAGACGTCTTTGGCAGCCAATGAGTGAATCTATCTTTTTAAAGCTTTAGAAACTGTTTACTGAATTAAGAATTGCATTCCTGGCAACATTGCCTCTTACTCTCCAGCCATTAAAACTGGAATGCTCCTGAGGTTTGTTTCAGGTTGGCTGTCAATCAGAGAAACATGTTTTTGTCGCTCAGCTTCCTGCAATAACTCCACCAATAACATAAAACAAACAGCTAAAGTCTAAAGAAGAAAAACCAAGAGCAGGATAAACCTTCCACAGGCATAACGGAGGTAGATGTGCTCACCTGCTAGCCCAGGCTTCAGGCCAGGCTGCTTGTTTTTCTCGTAGGTCTTGAGCATGAACGACGGGATTCCAGCCACCGTTTTACCCTGATCGGACCGCAGACCGCCCCCCCTCAGGGCCGAGAAGTACACCCCCCGTGGCATCAGACTCATCTCCTGTTTCACCAAGGATGTCAGGAAGAGCTCAAAGGCTGAAAGGACAAAAGTGAAAATGAGATACTTGAAAAAGGAATTATCTCAAGAGAAATGCATTAGTTCAATATGCATGACAAAACCTGCTAGATGAAATACCTGTCCTCGCCGGAGGCATTGTGCTGGAGACTGTACCCCTTTAAGAAGCCATTGACCAACATGATGAACACACAAGCTTAATATACCTGGCAGAACAGAAACGGAGGTGAGTGCCATCAGTTTCATGTAAGATGAGCCTGGAATGGAGAGATCCTTCTCCTTCTCCTCCTCCTCCTCCTCCTCCTTCTTTTCATCCTTCTCCTCATTTTCGTGGATCTCCGTGGCTGGTCTGGCCTACAGGGCAAACAGAGAAACGGAAACAGAAACGGATGATTTATGGAGACAGTTTTAATTGAAAGCTAAACCCTAAAGGAACATTACATTACCGCCTGCAATGGATCATTAAGAAACATTAGGATTAAAAAGGAACAGAACCGCGAAAGAAAAATCTCTTTTGAATGCTTGGCAGCCAGTCTTTAAGACAACCGTGTCACTGAAAACAGAACTTCTATTTTATACGATTTGCTTAGAAAATAACTCAATACATTTTAAGACTAAAGGCTACGTTTTGGGGAGTGGAGCAGGGTTCTTACCGCAGCAGGAAGGTGAGGTATAGTGTGAACCGTTTCAGGAAAGCCTGCCAAGGCCTTGTAGCCACAGCTGGACACATCAGGATCCTGTTCCAGAAAACGCACAGTCAGCATGTTTGGTATTTAAAGCATAACTAGAAGATATGAACATGAGGCGCCAGCACACTGGAAGATTTAGAAGCTGCTCCACACGCTTTATTCTGTGAGTTCTGAGCAAAAATCTGAAGCTGTGTTCATTTCTATGTGTTGAGTGGAGCTTTACGGAATAACTGGGTGAGTTGTGATTAATTGTGAGAGTTTTGTTTTTGTAGTTTTTATCTTCCTGTCTATTTTAAAAAGTTTTAAAAAAAAGGAGCTGTTTGTAAAAAAACAGCAAATAGGAACTCCTCAGTTGGGCAGAATTTGAGACGGAGTTCACACCTTTACACACAGGTACAGGTGCCCGATTTAAAAAAGTTATGTATGTGTGAATGTTTTAGTAGAGATCCTACACAGTCTTTTAGAACCGAGACCCCAGCTCTTCAGCATACAGACCTTGCTTGAAGCATAACTCCAGAGGAAACTGACCACTTCATCTTTCAGTTTCTACGAGAAAAATACAGATACAAGATAAAATGATCCCTCTTTAATCACGACAGAGTTTTAGTTTAGAGAGTTCAAACACATTTATTAAGGGTTTTTTCAACTACTGAAGGAAGGAAAGATTCTACCACAATTAGTTTTAGGTCTAGCCAAGCCTTTAGTAGTGAACAGTCTTTTAATGGTAGGCATTACAGTAATACTACTGAATAAAATTATCAATACATTTGATTTAGTAACTGAGTAGCTGAGTTGTAGCTGAGTTTTGCCTGAGCAGTCATCTACTGAATGCCCTTACACTGTAGGCCATAGAGTTCTATCCTTATGGATCTTTTAATGATTATCAGAGTAAACATTTGCCTTTTAACCAATATTATTCTCTCAAGTCAAAGTCAGACGGTCAGGAAGATGATAAATGATAAGTAAGTGAAAGCACTACTATGATAAATCACATTAGGTACCTCATACTCCTCTGACTTGACGGTGAGCTGAGGGACCAGGGCCAGGAGCTCCGCTATGGCTTTAACCATCAGTGGACGAGAGTCGCCGCTCAGCTCTGGACCCAGACTTTTCCAGGTGGAGATTATGTCCACAACCTGTCAGAAAGGCCGAGCTCAAACTCAGTGGAACAGAAACACCTTGACTGAATCACCTCGGATTAAACCAAAACATTTCCCCATGGGAATCAAATGAGCTCGCTCATGTGAAAGACCACAGAGTTAAAGCCTTTTGAAAACACAAACGCTTGATAATGGTGGGATGGATTGCAGTACCTCTGCTCGGCACAGCTCCTGTAAGCCCTGTAGGGCTAAGGCAGCCGGGGTTGCCAGGTCTGGTTTGCTGCACTGCTTCAGGGTGAGGGAAATCGCAGCCAACATGTCCCCTCCATGCTGGTACGGCCTGACACGCACACACACACACACACACACATACACACAATTCTTACTGAGATAACTAATAAGGAGGCAGAAAAAGAGTCTCACATGTCTTTGACAGTGGCATTCTCTGCTAGAGAACAGCCTGTTTAGCGACATTACAGCAAAGGTCCTCATGGTTAGTTTAGTCGTTTTATCTTTCATTTCATCTTTCTTTACTCTTTTCTTTTAGCCAGCTGTCGAGTCGCCTGTCTATCGTGTCATAGCCTACATATTAACACATCTCCACTTTATCTGATGCTTTATGGTCAACCAAGTTTTCCATCTTTTCACTGTTACCTTTTGCTAGTTGAATAATTTTGTCTCACAGGGTAATTCCACAATGAGCACCAAAGCGGGAATTCTTCCCCACAAACTTAAGACTGATATCGTAATAACTCATTCTAACAAGTGTGAGCAGAGAGAAGTCGGTTTATGACCCAATTTTCCACAGACAGCCCAGCCCCTAGACTTGTGCTAGAGTTGCTAGAACACATCTCTTGTCATTTGAACGGTAGACAGTATTATCTACTGCTTCTTTCTGTGACTTAGTTATGCCAGAAAACAGCATCAAGAAGACAAACAGCACTATAAAGATTCTGCGTGTGCTTTGCTGTTACCGGCAGGACGGACTGTTACCCATGGAGTAGCTTTTCTGATAATCTCTGTCTAACACTCCCAACCCAACAGAGGATCAGAAAACAGATGACTGTTTGAGTGAAAGAGGTGGGGGTTATGACACCAGTCACTCTCTGAAAAAGTTGTAAAATTCTTCAAATTCACATGGCAACTCAAAGAAAGAAAGACCATATTTGAAATAGTTGCTATAAAGTTGCAGAGGATGCAACTTCATTATGTCTGACAGTTGCTAAGAAAGAAAGAGTAGCTAGAACCCCTTCTTTTGGATTAGAAATATCTAAAACAGGCCTACTATTGTGGGTTTCCAATGCTAGGCTATACAGTAAGGCAGGCTTTATTTTGGTGAGGGGTGCATTTTAGGAGTAGGATGAATTCAGGTTAGCTCAGGGAGGACGTGAGGCTGTGTGTGATGAGTGTGTCTGTCACCTCTCTCTGCAGATGTCCCTGAGGCAGGCGGCCCGGCACAAGAGCTGCTCCCACTGGGCCTCCTGCCCCCCCGGCCCCCCGGAGTCCTGCTGGCCCAGGAGACGCTGCAGCTCCGGGTAGACTCGGTCCTTCAGAGGCAAACACAGAGAGAAGACAAATGCATATTTCTGAGGAGCTCGGGATGAAGAAAAGTGACAGTTCTGATGAAAAGAAACCTGTTTTTTCCAGAGAGTGGTCATGAGACGCACGGCGACAGCCCTCAGCCTGGGAGAGCTGGCCAGCATGTGGAGGGTCTGCAGCACCAGGGGGACACAGAGCTGGAAAACCATCAAAACACTGTGGTTATACACAACGAAGGACAACGTGATTACATTTGGACGACGTTACAAGCCGAATCTTGCTCATTGTGAGGTTGGACGTTGTACCTTGTGAGTCCCAAGGTTGGGTAGGCAGTTAAGCACAGCATGAGCCAGTTTGGGGTTCTTTTCCTTTGCCAGTTTGAACAGCAGCACCGAGAGGAGGGAGGGAACCTGGACACACACAGGGGGTTTCGGCTTAACAAGTACCTTCAACCTCTTGGTTTGGAAGTGCAGAAGACAACTGACAAAAGACAAAAGATGGAAATCTGCTTTGAGTGTGAGACCCAAAGAAAAAAAGTGTCTTCAAATGTCTTTTTTGTTGTGATTTTCCATGTATTTAGACCTAAAAAAGAACATTAGAATTTAATTTTTAAAAAAAATATTTTTAATTTTAATTTCATAGCATGCCCACTGTGGAGGACAACAGGACGGTTTGCATGGGAAAATAGAACAGGCTTTAGATAATTAAATAATAAAAAAGAAGAAGTCTTGAAAGGGATATTTGCCTAAGAACTCTTAGGAAAAAAGTAAAGTTCCCATTATGCAAACCTATCACATGGCACATCACTGGAAAGCCCAGGATGTGCTCTAGAACACTATAGGGCTTGATAGGGTAACTCCAGATACTTAGGGGGGGGTACAGGTGGACAAAATGTCCACTATAATGGACATAAATGAATGGGCCGGGTCTCAGGAGGATAAATCATGGATATGGATTTGAGTTTTTTTACCCTCCTGACTTGAAAAGAGCTCTGTGGCACTTAATAGGAGCGACCACTTCCCAAAAGATATTTCAAACTCCTCTTAACCAGAAGCCTGTCAGAAACCTGCTCTGTGTAATAACCACTCTACTTCTCACCTTTAAGCCACTTTGAACAGTATCTGCCTTGTCACTGTAATTCAATGAACACACACACAGGGAAGTAGTGTGTGTCCCCCCCCCCCCCCCCGTGTCCCTGAAGCTTACCACATTATCGACAGATGATAGAATTGACCTGTACCAGGCTGTGATGCACCTTGTGTGGAAAATCTCTTCTTCCGGCCTGTCATCTTTGGTAAAGCTCCATCCCTGTTTTCCACCCACTCAACCCTTATCGGGTTACAGCTCTGACTCCAGGCGTGAGCAAAAGCCGTTTCAGAGTTGCTTCCATAAAAGAAAAAGAGAGGAAACGAGTGCGCTCTGACCTGCCTCCTGTGTGTTGTGGCTGACCAGTGTGCATGAACAACACTATATACACACAACGCTGTTTCTGAGGAGCTCTGCAGAGACTGCCCAATCCAAATATACTGTTTATAAATGCTGCGTGCTTCAATGGCCAATTATAAAAAAAAAAAATAAGGCATTAAACCCCAAACAGCAACTCCATATCCTGGTTAAAACCGATTTTTATATGAATTGGTCCTGAATATATTGTCTTGAATATTACTGGCTGCAGAAAGCTAAAGAGTTGATAAAAATGACTGAACCAGGTGCCAAAGTCTAAGCAAAAGAAAAGGGATTTGATGCAGAAATAAAGCCGGTTTTATAATGAATGAGTCTTAATGAGTCATTCTCATACCCTGCATGGTGTTCATGACACAAGTGGAAGTATATTTTTAACGTATCCAAGTAGAATTCAGAGACCAAGTGTGGCTATTGCAACATTGTAATGTATTAGTCCTAACTCAGGTCTTTGCAAATCATTTTCCTACACTGTGATGGTGAAATTATGCCTTTGTGACAGAAATGGGACACAGTGGCACTTTCAAACTGTTTTTAACAGACTTTTTCTGTCCTCTTTTGTCAGTTGGAGATTTCAATCTACATACAAACATTTCCTCTCTCTGTAAACTCAGAAATGACCAAAATTTCAACGTGTGTCATTTGGACATTTTGAAGATAAATCACGTTATCATGTAAAACCTGTTTAATGTTTGAATTAGCTGATTGTAGCTGATTGTGTCCCGATTCATTTCAATGACAAAAAGTTTGGAATAAAAAAGCTGAATATCTTAAGAATAAAAAGAGTTTAGAAAAAAAAAGGAAAAGTCATTCTGCCCGTATCCAGAACAAGTTGGATGTTACAAATTAGTCCATAAATGTAGATGAGAACTAAACAGAAGAGTAAGTAAGAGGACCACTACAGTGTGAGGACTGAGTGAAGAGTGGACAGTAATAAAACCAGAGCAGAATGGTCAGAATGAGCACCGTTTCCTTCGGCTGTGAGTGTAGAAACGGGAAAGAGCCAGGGTCCTTGGTCACACAATGGCTCTGCAGTGTAACAGCCTTTAATCAACATAAAGCACTCAGTCCTACCACGCAACTCCACGGTTGCCTGGCAACCACATCACCTGCGTGGTTTGAGAGCCAGAAAGGCGTGCACAGAAGGAAATTCAGTTTTTCCTTCTTTAAAGCATCCACTTCTAAACTTAACCATCCCTTTTAATCAGTACTTGTGAAAATGAGAGATGCTCTGGGCCTCAGGCGGCAGCTTTGTAATTAGCATGTAGCAGGTAGACCCCAGGTAAACAAATCCACCGGGTTCACATCCAGCAGGCACTTTGGGAGCAATTAGAGCAGCAAGGGGACACTAGCAGGCTTCCTCCAGGCCCGTGTAATGAGCCTCTAACACCATGAGGCACTTCCTCACAGCTCCCGGTGACAGCCACTCCATTTACGGTCCCGGGAGGGGCCGAGGACAGCCTGTCAATTCTTCTCCTCACACACCTGCAGAATATTCAGCAGCCCAGGCAGACCGGATAGACTCTGGTATTGTTGTCATCAGTTCATGTTTGTGATTATTGTTTGTGTTGTTTTTAACCAATTTATGTTGACCTAGAGTGTCCAGAAAGGGGCCTTTTAAATCAAATGTATTATAAATATAGTAAAAATGTGCAGAAAATATTGACTTTGATGTTAAAATAAACAAAAAGACATGTGTATTGGATTTGCTTGTTTTTTAGACATTTTGTTAAAGAAAAAACACTTCAGATGAAAATAAAAAGTTAATATTTTTATCAATTTTTTGTTGGGTCAGATCACAGTGTTTGTGATTTGGGGTTGCTTCATCGATTTGGGTCCAGATTGTCTTGAAAAATAATTGTATATCCTGGTTAAAAGTCCTTCAAAATAATGTGAGACAATTTGGCTAAAAGTTGAAGTGTAAATGGACCTTTAAGCGTGATCATAAACTTCAGTACAATATCAAACCCACCACGCAATGGCTACAAAACTCAATAAGTAGGGTTACGGAACAGAAAAGAATCCTATTGACTTCAATCACACCAAAACATTTTAGAAACGTATTTTAAGCAGAGCACCCCCTGAGACATCTAGCAAAAGTTGGACTAGTTCATTGAAGTGAGGCAAAATAGGAAGAATGTTGGATTTTTTTTAGTCTGAAGTCTTTCTTTGGCCCCTCAACAACATATGAAGAAAAATAACTGAAATTATTTTGATCAAATTAGCGTGCAATAAGTAAAAACTATATGTTGGTGTAGTCTTCTACTGGCTGTTATCAGGTATATCTGAATGTGTACAACAGGGGTTTGAGCAAAGCTTTTACCACTGAATGATGCAGAAAGTCTCACATCCAAAAGACTTCAGAAACCGTATGTATCAAATATAATACATTTGGCATTATAGGGTTAAAACCTACTTTTGACTCCCTCTGCAAAGCGATGTTTTTGTTGAACACATTATTTCAGTGTCAGAGGGGAACTTTTTTTTCTTTTGGCTTTGTTTACGTGCCACCAAAAGGTACAGGCATTAAGGGAAAGATGCTATTTTTGTTAAATGACAGCAGAGCAGGAACTCAGACGCTGAAGGATTGAGGGGACAGTTGTGGGGGTCATCTACCTGGCAGGGGTCAGCAGCAGCGATGGCCTGGCCGGCGGTCAGAGCCAGCTGGCAGACGTCCTCCTGGCCAGTGATGATGAGATGAGTCACGACCAGAGAGAGGGAGGGGGGCGGGCGCTGGCCGGGGGACAGGGCAGAACGAACCGCCAGCAGCCAATCGGCCGCCGCCACTGGATCCTGGGCCAGTTTGCGCAGGACGGACAGAGCCACGGTCAGCTCACTGTACCAGTCGCTGACCGATAGAGCCAGAGCTGGGCCAGGCTGAGGAAACAGGTTTAAGAACAAGAATCACTCATTAACACACAGTTACATGAGCTAATAATCATAAGTCATTAAAAAAGAAATGTCACCGCCTTTTAAATATTCTTAACCAAGTTCTTTAAATCCAAAAAAAAAGGCCGTCGGTGGCAACAGGTGGGTTTTGATTTAGACGCACTTGCTTTATTTTTTTGTAAAATTCTAAGAAAATAACAAACAACATTCCATTATAACTTTGCTGCAAACAAAAAGTAACAAAGGTGATCCAAAAGGTGAAATAAAAGTATAGCGTGTGACGTGTGGCGTGCTCAAAAAATCATAGTGGCAAACCTCCCGTCATCACACCTGACATTCCCCCCCCCCAAACCACAACCCCTGGCTGTTTTAAGTCTTCCAAATTAATGGGAGGAGCTTGGAAAATTACTCAATAAATCCCAACAATTAAACTAAAAATGGTTCTTTGCAAATTAAACATTTCAACTACTTACAATTAAACAGAACACGTGAATGACGAAAAGTTTACTTGAATGGCCACAGCAAGAAGAAACACCAGTGAAGAAAATAAAGAAAAAGATCCAATCTAAATTTGCCTGTTCATTGACTTTGACTGGGTAATTGATTTTCTGGTTATTTTTGCTCTTTACAGACCCAGCCTGTCATGGTAGCTGCTTTTATGCTAAATCAGGATGATTTACACTGGCTGATAGCAATTATTTGGCATATATCACTCATTTTTGTTTAGATCTATGTGCCAGGAACGAATACTCATTTTTTCCACTCTTCTCAGTAATTTCTTATTTTTTAAATTAAGACCATATTAACATCTTAACTTTTTTTCAGGGAAGTTAGCCATAATGCAGCTTTATAAACATGTTGTATACGTTTTTGTATAAAAACGTAAAACGTAAAGACTACCTGGACGGCCTTTTAAAGCCCAATGTCACCACTCGCTCACTCCCTTTCCCCAGGGAGCCCCAGCTAACACGGCCATGTTAATCTGGACTCCTCTCATCTTTGTTTCCACGCTGGTGGAACGACGTCACAAGCACTATCAGAGAATCATATTCCCTTTCCTGCTTCAAAAATCCCTGAAGACCCAGCTCTTCTGAGAGTGTCTCGTGTCCTAAAAGCTCTAAATGTTTATTTCCTGATAGCATATAGCACTCAATGCGTGGTACTTTTGCAATCTATGTCATAGTTGAATGATAAACGCTGAATGTTAAATCCTCTTCCAGCATATTACACTCATATAAGTGTGGAACTGGGGTTGGAGCTGAATACTAAACCCTCTTTTTGTGAGTCTCTTTGGATAAAAGCGTCTGCTAAATGAAGAAATGTGAACGTAAAAGGCATTGCTGCTTTTCTGGATCCGTGGCTGTTCTGGCTCCTGCTGATTGGTTGATAGTGCTTGATCAATCAGTGATAAGATAAGGTTACTGAAATCAAGTGATTACATTTATTCCTTCATAGCAGAGTGATACCGAAGTCAGAATCCCAGATAAAAATCTCAGTTATTATTATAACTCCAAAGAGAGAAGCAGATCCGTAATTGACAAATGAGATCGGAATGCCTTTGAGACAGGGGTGTGGGTTTAAAAGAGTGCTAGAAATGGGGGAAACCAATAATTCCCTTCATGCAAATAGGAAAGATATGGACGGACAGAATTGAGTCACCCCAAATGTGGTTTAATCTTATAAGACAAAGTACCTTATAAGAGGGGAAGAGGGGCTGATGGACGGTTACCTGTGGGACTTGTTCTGCAGGTTTGCTGATGCTGACCAGCAGGCTGTGGGCCAGCCTGTGGTTGAGGCGGTGCGTCCTGTGGTCAGACAGCGGCTGGGTGAGGCCGGAGCAGGACAGCAGCTGCAGCAGAGGCAGGGCCAGGACTGGACTCAGCCAGGGGCACGGCCCCTCTTTTTCAGGGACTAAACTCAAAGCTGTGTCAAACCAAGAGGAGAAAACAAAAGACCCATGAGATGACAGGGGATCCGGACTAAAACTTTTCCACCGAACTGCCCGCTAAAAGGGCCTCACACTACATGTTTTCAAGTGCATACAATGCGGTCAAAAATACACAACTACCAAGGCTCAGGAGTACTTTGGAAAATTCTTTAGCCCTAAACACCTTCCACCTGACAAAACCTCCAAGTATCTGATCAAAGATGACACTTTGGACAAACTCAATGAGGTAAACCATCAATACAAATTTCCCTCCACATGATCAGGACGCAATAGTTTGACTTTGGTCAGACTAATGTGTTCATGTGTATTTTAATGGTTTAAAGGTTTTTTTATGTTTAAAATTTTCACGAAATTACATTTCTATATTGGGAATATTGTGGTACAGTTACTTTACAATATTCATGTGATCTGCCATGATACAATTGTTAAATGTGTAGGATTTATTAAGCATCTGTCCATATTACTGATAAAAAAAATCCTCATATGATATGGTCCCTACTATTAAACACATTTACTGCCACTACCTTATTAGGTTAGCTCAGCTAAAAAAGATGATTCATTTCGACTACAGGAAATTCTTGCCTATGAAGATCTCTCAAATAAGAAACAAAATCCACAAAGAATCATTTGTGAGTGCACATGTTGTTTTACCCAGACTGAGCAGGCTGCTCTGCTGAGCGGGCGGGGCGTCCAGCAGGAGCAGGCCTACGCCCAGCAGCAGCTCGTCCACGGGCGCCTCCTGCAAAACACGTTTAGCTTCACAAACCGGATGACCAGCGGATGACCAGCGGATGACCAGCGGCGATCCCAGATCCACCGCCTGACCGGACGCTGCCCGCTCACCTGCTGGCAGGTGGGCAGCAGCCGCTGCATCAGGTTGAGGAGTGGACGGCAGTCTCCGTTTAGCTGGAGGCATCGCTGGCACGCACACAGCAGCTGCACGAGCAGCCCCGCCCTCTCGGTCAGCCAGCAGGCCCCCGGAGCCTCGGTCAGGGGCTGGACGAGGGTCTCTACGACCCCGCAGAGCTCCAGCACTGCCTCCACACTGTCCAGCTGCAGGGAAACACACACAGCCCAACCACAGCAAATCACGTTTTCCCCTATGAGCCTATTGCTTATACACACACACAAATGTATACACATTGTTATATATACCCTCCTGAGACCCGGCCCATTCATTTATGTCCATTATAGTGGACATTTTGTCCACCTGTACCCCCCCTAAGTATCTGGAGTTACCCTATCAGCCCTATAGTGTTCTAGAGCACATCCTGGGCTTTCCAGTGATGTGCCATGTGATAAGTTTGCATGCTGGGAACTTTACTTTTTTCCTAAGAGTTCTTAGGTAAATATCCCTTTCAAGACTTCTTCTTTTTTATTATTTAATTATCTAAAGCCTGTTCTATTTTCCCATGCCAATCGTCCAGTTGTCCTCCACAGTGGGCATGCTATGAAATTAAAATAAAAAATATTTTAAAGAATAAATAAATTGTAATGTTCTTTTTTAGGTCCAATACATGGACAATCACAACAAAAAAGACATTTGAAGACACTTTTTTTCTTTGGGTCTCAGGAGGATATACATATATATATAAAATGTCATTTTCATTTCATTCCGTTTATTTTGAAACATGATATGATTTTACAATGTTTACATAAAATGCTTCCCAAACATGCATCATATTTCAAAAAGGATGAAGCATAAGCTTATTAAGCCCCGCCCCTCAGTTACATGAGTCGTGGTGGTAAAGGACGATTACAGTAAGACAAACAGTATAACTTTTTATGTGTTATTCTTTTTTGTATTCATCAAAAATACTTTTCTTATATTGTTTTTTGAATTGCTGGATGCTATTACATTGTTTAATATTTTCAGGCAAGCTGTTCCAGAGCTTCACTCCACTAACTGATAAACTGAAAGTTCTTTTTGTTGTTCAAACACACTTAGTTTTGAAATTTAATTTTCCTCTTAGATTATATTTTCCATCTCTATCTGTAAACAATTGTTGTATGTGTGCAGGAAGTAATTCATTTCTTGCTTTATAAAGAATTTGAGCAGTTTTGAAATCAATCAGATCTACAAATTTGAATCCGGGAATAAACAGTGAGTGTGATCTCTATAATGTTTGTTATTCGTTACTCGTATTGCTTTCTTTTGCACAATAATCAATGGTTGAATGTCTGTTTGGTAAGTGTGGCCCCACACTTCAACACAATAGGTTAGATAGGGCTGAAAAAGTCAGCAACAACATAAGAGTTTGTCCAGACATTGCCACATCTGGACTTTACCTGCATATATGGAACCAGCGTGCAGAGGCAGAGCAGCATGGACTCGGACACGGCCGAGGACTTGTTGTTAAGGGGGTCCGGTCCGGTTCCCTGCTGCTTGGTCAGCAGCACTCTGAGCAGGCCCTGGCGCAGAAGAGCGTGCTGGGGCTGCCTCTGGGGCTCACAGTACAGGTACCGGAGGAAGGGCGCCAGCATGGCGATGTAGGACGTTTTGTTCCTGAGGTTTATGAACGCATAAGAGGCACGTCAGAAACTCTGAAAACACCCAGCGGTGCCAGAAAATTTCTAGGTTCTGTGGAAGAGGCTCAACAGTTCATCAAGAGGCTTCCAAAACCACAGGAGGACCAATAAAGGAGCAACGTTTTTCCGAGGGCTTTCTTCAGAAACACAGGCAGGCTGCTTTTCCTCAGGGCGCAGCAGGTACTGTAAATATAGACTTATGTCATATTACCCTATTTCCAATAGACTTTTTCTGGCCATCCTTTTGGTTGGTATTGGACTTTATGAATGGAAGGGTAGCTCTGTCATTCTATTTCTTGTGGTTGCCTCAATTTTTATTGCAATACTACTTTCCTATGGTGTTTATGACAGCCAGAAACTCTGAAAACCAGCTTTAATCAGTTAAACATCTTAAGTCAAGTTTAAGCTTTTCTCTATAGAAAATTCCATAAAGTCTTCATCTTTAAAAGCAAAACGTGACATTGAGATTTTCTGCATGTCAGGGTCAGTGGTGGGAAGTAACCAAGTACAAGTACAAGTACTTCGTTACTGTACTTAAGTACAATTTCCGTGTATCTGTACTTTACTTAAGTAGATTTAATAATGGATACTTTCCACTTTTCCTCCACTACATTTAACAGTAAGTCTCTGTACTTTTACTTCACTACATTTCTGTACAGCGTTTCGTTAATCGTTACATCCAAGACGCATTTCGGTTTTTTGATTTGTTCGTTAGTTTGAAAGTATCCAATGGCGAGAGCAGAATCAGTCCGCTGAACCAATCCAAAGCGGGAAATAACCATTAGGCCCTCCCTCAAGAAGAGCAGCACAGTACCAGGACCTGCATAAAATATCTAAATCTAACCTGTCACAGGGGGTAAACACAATAAAAACATGCTTTATCTGCAGCATTGCTCATTAAAATGGTACATTACTGATTTATTCAAACTAAATACGATAGGTACACTTAATGACATTATATAAGCCGTTAGCTATTATGGTTGGCAAGTACTTTTACTTTTAATACTTAAGTAGTTTTAAAAGCTTGTACTTTCTTACTTTCACTTAAGTAAAATAATAATGTGGTACTTTGACTTTTACTTGAGTCAATTTTTGTCTGTGTATTTGTACTTTTACTTAAGTACATTATATAAGTACTTTCTCCACCACTGGTCAGGTTCGTATGATGAGTTGGGTGCTTCTCACATGTGCTTTTTAGATTCAAACACTGAGGGCCTGAGTGATTGGTGGGTGGGTTCGGGGTCACCGTGGGGGGCCGTTCTTGCCTGTCATCTGCCTGCCGAATGAAGTCATCAATCTCCAGCAGCAGGGCGGGCCAGCAGTCGGCGCGGTTCTCCAGAGCCGTGATGTACGGGTGAGGCCTGAGTCTGCAGGGGGGAAGACAGCCGAGTGGTCATTAGCCAAACGGTCAAGTTCAGCCAAAACACGCTGACAACCTGCATTAAGGTGCAGACATTCAACAAAATATGCTTCTGATTATCTTCAGCTAGTATTTAGCTTCTAAAACCTTTAAAATATGTCATGGTGACATTGGAAATGAGCCTATCTATCAAGTACCATGACATCCAGGTTGATTCCCAAAGACTTGGGCTTCCGCGCTTATTTTTTTTTTCTGCTGTCCTCATATCAAATTGTAGCCGGCTATCATTTTTGGTACCACTTCTTTCACAGTGGGGGATTTTCCCCGAACCCTCTTCTTATTTCATATTTCCACTGGATCATTACAGACCTCCGTCATCTTATGTTTGTACCAAAAAATGGAAAAATGTTGCAGTTTCTCAGTCAATTATCTTTATTGCAGTTCTTGAGGTGACACTAAAAAGACTATGGCTATGTACTGACACACTGTTGCACACCTAGATTTAGAATTTCATAACTTTGTGTTAGATGAGTTAATAACGTTTTGTCCCTGTGAGTCAATATATCTGATTAGATGTTGCATATGAAAACAAATGATTATCCATCCAGTCATGTTATGCAAATGACTACTTAATGAATTTGATGCAGTCTAATGCAGTTTTTAATATTTCTTTGCTATGGATACTCGTTTTCATTCATGATAAAAATACGTTTTTTATAACCCTCCCGCTGACAAAATAGTTAAACTTAATTAAAGTTTATGGACTAACAAGTATCTAATGTCTTAAATTTAAAAGTTTTTTGCTGTGATATACTGTAAATGACAGACGGTTTTGACGTGTCTAGTTAAGATCTTTTACCACCATTCTACTGTATAACATCTAAAAAAAGCAGTCAATTTTTTCTAATAATAATTAGGGCAAAAGATGTTTTCATAACCTCTGACCCTGTAAAGCATTCTTTAAGTTGCTCACTGTGCCAACAGGCAGGGTCCTAACATAAGAATGTTCATATCTGCCATTGCTAATAACTAATGCTCTCCAAAAATAGACGCATTTACAACCCAAATTCATTCTACCTTTAAAACCCAGATTATTTTCAGACATTAGAATTTATGCTAAAATTACATATTTGTACCCAACAAGCAGAGGTGGAGGGTGTTCATGCAACTTTATCTAATAAATGTACATTTTTCAACTGTTTTACACCGCTTCTACGTCCTGTTTTTATTGTTTAACATACAGGGACACTTAAAAACCAGGACATTTAGCTATCATCAGCACCGCTCCAAGCACTACCTTTTCCTTTACCTTCCTTTCCTTTGAAGAACAAACAAAGAACCTTTCTCAGTCTGCATTAAGTGCAGACAAAACACTGAGGTCAACTCCAAGTTGAAGAGCCGGCGCGTTATTAGGGCTCCAGTCCCAGAAGGCTGGGGTTATATCAACACCTAACCCATTTGTTAAATCCCTCATTAAGTATCCAAATGGAGGAAGGAGGCTCTTGGACTGAGCATGTCTGTGCATGCCAATGACCGCAGCACTGCCCATCCAGCTGTTTCTGCCTAGTCCTGAAAGGTGTAATCTGCCTGACCATCACGGTTCAGGCTCCCCGCGGCTGTTTCCAGCCCCTCGCCTTCATCATGGCTCCCATCCATCAGCCATGGCGGGGCCCTCTACTTTTGAGCTGTCACACAGAGGAGGAAGTCTAGATAGACGGCTCTTAGTCTGACTCCAAGTTCACCAAAGGGGTCGAGTAACATTGAGCCATGGTTCTGCTCGAGGTTTCTGCCTGTTAAAAGGAAGTTTTTCCTTGCCTGTGTCGCCTAGTGCTTGCTCATGGTGGGAATTGTTGGGTTTCTGTAACTAACTTCAGAGTAGGGTCTGACCTGCTCTGTTTGGAAAGCTGTGAGACAACTGTTGTTGTGATGTGGCGCTATATCAATAAAATTGAATTGAATTGAATTAATTTTAATTTTGTAATGTCAATGTCTGAACGTGTGTTTGGACTGATTTTGTATTTTGTGATTTTGTGTTGTTTGATCTTCCTGCCTCAGGACCACAGATGTAAACTAGCAACTATGCTATAATCTGGCTCATTTACAATCTGTATGAGATTGTTCATTAATGTGCACTGTCCTGATTAAATAAATAAATAAATAAACATGGAGCTGTTGCTGCCTGGAGATGTTTCTCTGGCTTTTTTTGCAGTGTACCACAGGCTGAGGGAAGTACCAGGACACTTCAACATACGCAACAAAGATCCTTTAACTAGATTGAAATCAAATAGGAAATTGGGAATGATGGAGCCATTAAAGTCCTGTCACATTGACAGGTGGAGTAGGGAGCTAACCAACACAGAAAATATTGAAGACATCCTCTCATTAAATAGATAATGAAAGCCTTTTTGGGAAGGCGCTCATAGGACCTGATCCAGCTCAGCTCCTACGCACTCTCCCTCCCACTCCATTTGAACATTTCCACGGTGGTTTCTACAGCAAAGGCAGCTTCGAACCAACCTACATATACCCTCACAAAGATAAGAGGCCACGCGCCAACCTATCTGAGCTCCATGCCGTTTCTTAAGCTAAATGTGCTAGGTTGGCTCATTATCTCAGAAAAAAAAAAAAAACACATATTATAAACTGATCATACATGCCACAAGCACTAAAAATAGTCAATATTTTCTCCAGAGGTCTGTACATCTTTTCATGATTACCCATAACATCTGGAATGTATTTAATTATTGTCCATACCGCGTATTTGTAGTAGGGTAATTTACTCCCAGAGGCAGTTTAGAGTGTCCAAAAATCTCTAAAAAATTCATGTTGGAGATTTGAAAATGAGAATAAACTATTTTCATGTTGGTTTAAAAATGTGTACATGATGTAAATTGGCAATAGAGCGTAACGTAAACCAACAAAGTCTAGCAAAATCTAAAGAGACTACCGCCGTTACAAATACAGAAACTTTAAGAAACCCAAGACAAAAGTATGAGAGGAAGCTAAAAAAAAAGTGGATGGGCGAGCAAAATGGCAAAAATTGAAATCACGCTGGACTTTGTAGATCTGAGGGGGGGAAACAGGATGAACAGGGGTATTGACAGATGTACAGTTAGCTTTGTTGTTGCCATTGCTCATTAATAACCTATCAACCCTCCCTCCTCTTATATTGTGTATGTTTCACTTTGCTCCACGTAATCATGAACACAACACAATCTTGTTCATTCCTCCCTTGGCTCTGTGCAAGGTGGAAATCAAAGGAGTTCCAAGCTGTGGTTCATCATTCTTGTAATAAAACCAAATTCCCATGTTTATTTACTCCTGAGATTTACTTTAGTTCTTTATATCATGACTAACAGCGAATACACAACATTAGAATGTACTCTGCAGTGTTTTCATCCACGTTGTGTTATCCATGAGAGCGTGAAACATCATTTTTAATCACCTCTCTCTTGCAGGAACACCTTAGGTTAGCATCCCTGTTCTGTTTCAGACAGTTTGAGCACCAAACATGGTGTCAATTTAGGGATTTTTGGCTTCAAAATATGAAACAGTGCTTCAGGAAGAACGATACATCATTCTCCACCTCAACTTAATTTTTTACCGTGTGAATTGTTCAGGTTTTTATTAGAATTTCTGGTCTTTCCAATGAAGAGGCCAATATTTTATAATTCAAATATGCCAGTCGGGAGTCAAGCAAGAGACTAAATGCTCATTTAGCCTGACATCACTAAGGCGGCACAAGCCAGTCCATTTTGTATTTTGATGTCTCCATCATTCTGTGAAACGTTTGTTGGTGACCTTATTCATCCAAATGGCTGTAACCTGGACTGCTACATTAGATTAGACAAGCCAAAAATATAAACAGATATATTTCAGAATTCCATTAGGACAGAACGATGAATCGATAAGGCTTCATCTCTTCCAGGGTGGAGCTTTTTGTTTCACTCTAAAGGTGCTGATCCCCATCTCAGTGTACCTGAAAGGCAGGGAAAGCTCCCCACAACAGCCAGACTGGCTCACTGAGGAACGGGACACAGCCCTGACCCTCCCCTGACCCTCCCCTGACCCTCCCCTGGTCCTGCCGGGGGCTGAAGGTTCCGGGTCTCAGTGGCAGATCGCTAAGGGCTGCTGCGCGCGGACGCACAACAATGGGCACCAGTGTGTACCCGCCATTAATCCGCCAGCATTTCCAGTCAGCCCCCAGTGCCAGGCCGGACGACCAATGGCGGGCCAGACCGCCAGGCCAATGGCGCCATCCTGCTGCCCGCCACACATTCATCCTCCCACCAGGGAGGTTCCTCTACCAGACAGACGGAGGGAGCAGACAGCGATGAAGACGGAGGGAGAGAGAAGGACAATGGGGAAGAATAGAGATTCGGAGAAGGGGAGGCTTAGACTGAGAGGTATTTTTAACTCATTGACTGCCAAAGACGTCTATAGACGTCTTTTATGTTTTTCAACGAGAGTGTCTGGGGGACGATCTGCTAAAGCTTGTCCGTAAATATGGGCTTCTAGACAGAGTATGTAGTAACAAATTGACCCTCTAGGGGGCAGTGCCACTTTTGATGGGAGATGAGCATAGACTGTAGGCAAATAAGAAAAAGGGAACGGTTCTATGAGAGAACATGTCGCCGGTGAGACGCAAGTCCAGGAAGAACGGAATAAGGTAAAAACACTTTTTTTTTCCTGATGAAAGAAGAGAGTCTACTCTTTCTTTTGGTGTGTTCGGTGTTTACATAGTCATAGCTCAAACTATTCTGTGGCTCTTGAAAAATCTGTCAAAATGCTAAAAAAAAACTTTGGCAGTATGGGACTCTGTGTTCTGAAAATGGCTGCCAGTCAATGAGTTAAAAAGGAGAAACAGGTTTTAGAGACAGAGTGAGAAAGACGGGGGGGGGCAGAAAAGAAAAAAAAAAGCTTTTTTTGACACAGGTGCTGATCTAAGGCTGGAGAAGGAAGAGAAGAAGAAATGAAGAGGAGGATGAGGAGAAGGAGGAAGATGTTCAGAGCTCCCCTGAAGTCACTGATGCCCACTACCTGCCCACTGCACTTTTGACCGCCACAGGTCAAAGGTCAAAGATAAAGAGGGAAGTCTGTGTCAATTACATGAAGTTAATACTTTAGTCATCCCCTTTTGCTTGCTCGCCAAAGAAGAATCAGCATATTAAACATCCATCCATCCATTATCAATACCGCTTATTCCCTGATGGGGTCGCGGGGGGAACTGGAGCCTATCCCAGTGGTCAACGGGCGAGAGGTAGGGTACGCCCTGGACGGTCCCCAGTCCATCACAGGGACACACAGAGACACACAAGGACCAACAACCAATCACATTCACTCCTAAGGGAAATTTCCCCAATATCCAATCAACCTAACGTGCAGGTTTTTGGACTGTGGGAGGAAGCCGGAGAACCCGGAGAGAACCCACGCAGACACAGGAGAACATGCAAACTCCACCCAGAAAGGTCCTGGTTCCCCCGGGATTCGAACCCAGAACCCTCTTGCTGGGAGACAGTGCTAACCACCACACCACCGTGCCGCCCTGCATATCAAACAATGCTAGCTAAAAAGAAAAGAGAATAAAAAAAAGCTGAAATTCACAGTAAACAGATTAATATCAAAGTATAAGCGAGTAGATCCAGTACTAACGAGCGGAGTTCAACCCCGGCGCGTGCTTTTGGGCCGTGTGAGCAGCGACAGCTGGACCCGCAGACACGCTAAAGCACCTCTGCAGCTGCTGGAACCAGACTCCCCCGCTGCCGTTCTCACGCTGAGCCACAATCCCCACATAAGCCCCACGATTTGCCGTGATGGTGACGCGGTCCAGAGCCTGAGGGGGACCGGGGCCTTCACTATCTGGGCCTCTGCGGCTGGAAATGAGCCGGCCTGAGATCTGTTCCATGCTAAATAAAGCAGCTATGCTGATGTTTGTCTGCTTTTACATCAGATGTTATTCTGTATTTTTAACTAAATTTAAAATACAAACAATCTGACATTCACAGATACACAAACTGCAATTTTCCAGATCTGTGTCTGAAACATTTGGACGTGTAGCTGGGCTGGAGATTAAATTACCACCAATGAAAACCAAACCCTCTATGGGGGCACGGTATGAATCTTTTGCTCCCAAAGAAATCTGAGCCCCCAGATAACTTTAATAGCTTAATCGTTATCCGTAAAGGATTAAGATGAATCGTATCTGAAAGTTTTTATTACGCTGACTGCCAAAGGCTCCTCTCAACGCCAACAAAGCAGTAAACAATCCGGTCTCAGCCCACATTTCTCATTTCTTTTATTGAATATAGAGTAGTGCCTCTGAGATTGCTGGAGAGGAAAGTAAAGAAACAAATGGAGCCTCAGAGGAAAAGCTTCCCGCTTTCCTTATGGATTCAAATAAATGAATCAGGTCAATAGATATTACATAAAACCATAGACGGGACATGGAGGATGGACTGACCTGATGGAAAATGGACAGGTGAAGGGTGTTTCCCCGTCCCTCTGGTCAGCCAGCATCTGCAGCAGCCGCCCGATGACCTTTATGAGCCCCTGGACATTTCTGTTCATATCGTAAAGAAAAAAACACATACAGAGGAGTTCATCATCCCGGAAACATTCAACACAGGCTATGAGTTAAAAAGAAACTGTACTGTTGAAGATAAAAATAGATAAAAAAATGTTCCAGCCTCTGAAAAATCAGAAGGAGGAAACACAGAACCTGGTTGGAAAAGTGCATTCTATGCATAATGGAGGCACATCCAGAAATCCTCTTTTACATAAGAGGAGAACATCTTTTCATCAGCTAACCTCACAGGAGATACAGAATATCAGAGATGTTTTATTCCTTCTCCATAAGTGTATTCCACACAGTAACTACACAGTTATTAAGGGTTAATAACCCTCCATCCACCTCAACTACAGCAGATGCTGCATTCACGGCAACTCTAAATAAAACTATTTTACGCTCTTTCTGTTCTGTTATTCACATTAAATTTCAAAATTACATACTTATTTAATCTAAGCGAAGAAATAAACGTGCACATGATACTCGTGGTACACACAGCATTTTGCCTCACGAATACATTAATACCAAAATCGGATTTGTCAGAAAACAAAACAGTACAAAACCATCAACAATCCCACTGACAAACCAACTTTTTCTAAAAAGAATATTTTTTGTGCCCGCAAGTGCAATAAGGCTAAAACTAATTCAGAAATCTTCATGGAAACATGTTACATGTGTTAGAAGTTCTTTAAAACACAATAAAAGACTCTGAATTGAAATAAATGATCATGTCTGACTATCAATAATTTCATAATTTCATTATTTTCAAAGCTAAAAAGCTTGTATTCACTGATGAATCTCAAACTAATTGAATCAATCAACACTTTATAAATCTACAAAAGTTTGCTGCTTTAAAAGAAGTAATTTGTTACTGTTAAAATATGACGGGTATGACAGAAAGGAGCTAATGTGGATGTGATAAACCCCCCCCCCCTTTAGATGGTGCAGACTCCACTCTCCATCCCAGACTTTTAAAGGCTCTTGCTGTGCAGAAACTGCAGAAGCCGAGCCTCCTGAAGATGTCCAGTCTGCTCTGTCCTGCCCTGCCTGGACACGGAACAGCCTGGGTGTTCCATTTTGAAAACTCAGGGAGTAAACTGCTGAAACTGGATGCAAATACACCTGGAATCGTCTCGTTTGAATGAGCCCAGACTCTGAGTCATGCTCTGTGGACTGACTATCAGACTGCTGTGTACCTGGCCTTCCAGAAACAGCTGTGGTCAGCAGATGACGGCTTGACCAGTGCAGAGCCACAGGTAACAGCTGCTACTACGTTTAACCTACTGCCTTTAGGACCTCCTACTGGAGTCAGACAGGATGTAAAAGAGTGCATGAGCTTACAGCTGTGCACGGCTGTGCTGAGCTCACTGCTGGTGTGGCCCACAACCCCACCTAATGACTGACCCCCACACGCCCGCCATGAGAGGTAGGGATGGGACGGTTTCTGAAACCCGTGTGAACCGTTGGGTTCTGTCTCGGTTGGGTTTGCGTGTGTTGGTTGGGTTCCTGCTGCTCCTTTTTCTCAGAGGGAAGCGTTTACACTCCAGAGCAGAAGGGGGCGCTACTGCGCCCAAAGCCAACCACCAGTAGGAAACAAGAAGAAGAAGAAGAAGAAGCAGCGTAGCCCATAAAAATCAGACCCAGCAGCAGTTTCTAGGTCTGCTGTATGGACCAGTTTGCATTTAGAGGGAAGCACATGTTGGAATTAGCTCTGTTTCCTCTCCTAATGCCAGAATCTCACCTACTTTAACCTCAGACTGTCACAGTAATTGATCAAATGTCAGACTGCTTTTTTCTTTCAGTTTTAACCTGACTATACAAGACATAATAGATTTTCCTAACAATCACCATATACCGAACCGAACCCAAAACCGTGACCACGAAACCGTGAATCGAACCGAACCGTGGATTTTGTGAAACCGTCCCACCCCTAATGAGAGGAGATGTTTTTTGTTTTTTTTTTGTTTTTTTTTTTTCCCTTGTCCTGTTCAGCATTATGGTAGTAGAACTGACATCTGCGTACCGTGCAATGCTGAGCAAAATTGCTTTGCCAAGGGAGGCTTTGTTAGTTAGAAGCCCCCCTTGATTACCCAAAACTTCTTTATTTATTCATTTTTGTTACCAAACTTCCATATGTCCAATAATACCGAACTTGACAGAGGGACAGGGGGGAGGGAAGGGTAGTGGAAAGGAGAGAGATCCTTTAGAGAGAGAGAGAGAGGGGAGAGAGAACAAAAAAATTTAAAAATTTAAAAAAAAGAAGAAGAAAGAAAGACAACAAGACCATATGACCAGCTGTTATGTCTGCAAAAAGGACTCTGTTCCTTGTGGGCAATCCGAGTGGAGAACCTGTAGGAGCACCTGCAAAAGGGCACAGGGAAGACAAAAGAACAAACAAGCAACACTGGCAGCCGGACACTGTTCCTTGTGGGCAATCCGAGCGGAACACCTGTAGGAGCTCCTGCAAAAGGGCACAGGGTAGAGAAAAAAAACAAACAAGCAACGAAAGCAACAACACTGGTAGCAGGACATTAATGAACTTCTCAGAATTGTGCAGAGGAGATGGTTAACAAAGGTGCCAATAAGCCAAGTTTAACATGCCGACTGAGCCGTTCCAGTCCTGCAGGGTGGCTGAGTACTCAGTCCTCCTGCCTCTACTGTGAATCTGAAACCTCTGGTGACCCTGGCGTTACAGCGGCGCGTACCTGGCGGAGGGCAGGAGGTTGAGCACGCTGTTGAGGGTGTGCTGGAGGTCGGCGTGGCCCTGCTCCACCAGCAGCACCACGGCGTCGCAGCAGGACGAGCGCAGCAGGGCGCAGTCCCCGCAGCACTGCTGCCACAGGGCCTCCAGCGCAGGGCCCTGAACGCACCACCAGCACAGCACAGCAAACACACTCACAGGTCTGAGCCGGCTCAGAATCACCAGCTCCTTAAGACAGTGTTTTTCAACCTTTTTTGAGCCAAGGTACATTTTTTCATTGAAAAAAACCACGAGGCACACCAGCAACCAAAAATGTCAAACAAATCTGTATCTGCCTATAGTAACACTATAGTTATTCTTATCTTATCTTAAGTGTCTTGAATAGGAATCAAATAAACACAAAAATGCATTTTATATCATATTTTATATTTCGTCTTTCAAATTGCTCTTAACATGTCCACTTCAATATACAAAATGATATACAAAATCTAGTCATAAGGAATTATTACATGATTACTCCACCAGTCACTAGAACAGCACACACACTCAAAAATGGCACATTATCTGCAGATAATTAATTCCTTATCGAAAAATCTTTTTAGACCAATGAGGTGAAATAGGATGATTTTCTACGGCACACCTGACCATCACTCACGGCACACTAGTGTACCGAGGACCAGGGGTTGAAAAACACTGCTTTGAGAAACTACATTGTTGCTGAACTCACCTGGCTGTGGGATTGGGCGATTTGCCCATTTGGTCCCTTTTCCTTCAGCACGGCAGCTACAAGATGTCTCACCGCCTTGAAAAAGAGAGAGAGAGGGCACACAAACACGGCCATCAACAGACACAGGAGATAGGTTATGGTCAGGTGAGATTAAAGATGCAGTGGGGCTTGTTTTATGTACTGTAAACCTCTGAAATCTGCACTTTTTGAAATACAACCATGAGTCAAGAGAGGTAACAAAAAGCCGTTAGTCACCTGGGCTTGGATGACGGGGCAGGGGAAATCAAACCGAGTCTTCAAATTCTCCGTCATGGCCGCGGCTCATGCCTGAGAGCGCTCCCAATCCCTGTTATAAAGAGGTCATAACACCAAAGGGTTCAATGTTTGACATGCAGGGAAAGCTTTTGGAGCCTGCTGACTGGCTGAGGAGAATGACATCATAGCTGAGCTGGGCTGCAGCAACCCGTGGCTAAACGGCACTAATGGACAGAACATTCCGGGTGTAGTGGCTAAATGTCCTTTCTTGGCTGGTGACCATTTCTTCTCTTTGACGAATGCAAATAACCACTCTTTCAGACGGAAAGAACGGGTCTACGCGTGTTAAGGTTTTAACGACGGTAGAAAACGGTGTGTTCACCCCGTCTTTACTGAACATTCTAAACAGACAAAAAACATACGTTTACATTCAACAAAAGCGCAAGCTCCGAACGTTATCGCTCAGCGTCAGTTTCTATTGGCTACTTAGTCAAGATCATTTTAAACATTAAAATAAATGCAGACTAAACTAAAATCAATTATAAATTAGCAAAGCAATAACTTAGTAAACTACAATCATAAATATTCTATGAAAACATAGAACCAAAATCATCCAAAATAATAACTAAACATGAGCATAAATTACTCCATAGAAAATGGCACCAACACCGGGTATGGCACTGTTTGGAGACATTTAGGGAAAACTGACTCCGACGGGCGTTATCAAATCAGTGGCCTACCAGCATGGCATTATTTTTCATCAATTATTTACGAGTAAACAGGGCAGCTTCCCACTCCCATTAGCAGGTCCTGTCTTGGACTATATTCCATACGCTGGTGTCCACAGGCTGGCTGGAGCCTCAGCATGGAAAAGTGTGATCCGTTGGCATACTTAGGGAGAGAGCGAAACACAAACAGGAAGTGTCGTCTTTGCTTTGGCGTTTGTTTGGCTGCAGACAGGTGAACTCCAGACCTTTGCCTCCTCAGCTCATCTAACTGGTGTAAATCAGTCAAAACTGCAACTTATCCATTTAAAATGTTGGGGTATAAAGTTTTCGCCACTCTGCGATGCCGAAGCAAAGAAATGAAGCGTCGGAATAGTGTTTTTATTTTTGGCAGTGTTCCCCTGAACAGAGCGGGTTCATCCATTCAATATTCCTCAGGAGGCAGGCCAGTCCAGGACCTGTCTTTAAGTCTGTGTTATGTGTTTGACATATCGTTCTGAAAAAGGGCATGGACGTCCTCTTTCATGCTCCCACTCATCCGGCTCTCTAGAAACACGGCTTTGACATTTGCCATTTGACAATGCTTTGGCACAAGGAAGATAAGCCGTGCATGGGATAACCCCTGCCACCCCCTCCCCAAACACAGGCGCCCAACCCAACCCCCCCTTTCTGTTATCTAACTGATAAGTCCGCCTGCTGCCCTGTGCTGTGCACCTCCCCGCTCCAGCGCTGGCCTCACTGGTTCCACCGCCACTCAGCTTCATGGCCACGTAGAGAGGTAAGTCCCCAGCACCTGCTAATGCACATATTTGCTCTAGACGGACTCTAGACAGCACCAGGACTCACCAACTGTGGGTTTGAGGCAACGTGGCCTTATACTATTTCACCATATTGAATATTAGGAATCTACTCATAGAAGAAAGCATCTAAAATCTAAAGGTTTGGTTAGTTTGGTTTAGAAGTATCGGTTTTTACTTAAATCAAAATGCCATCAGAGGTCTTCTAAATATTTAATTTAGTAAGTTTATGCATCCAACAGTTCCAGCAGCTTCTACAGCATATTTACCTCACGGCCAAACAATATAGGCTGGCTTGTACTGCAAGCTCTGCATTAGCGATACAAGCCAGGACAAAGCAGCAACAGTGTTGAGCCAACAGGCGCTTTAGAAATAACCCCAGCGAGGCTTTAGGGTGGGACGCCCGCCGCTGACAAACTGCACACAGTACACTCTGGGCTTTCCATGCTTTTCACACACTCACACACACACACATTTATGTCTGAGCTATTACTCTGTGAAAATAATAAACATGTATAGATGACCTAATCCTGCTCCATAATTTAGTATAACCAAGAAGTTTGTGGCTAGGTTTGTGTGTGGTTCTCTGTTTCCATCTCCAGTACCTTCTCATAAACATATATATAAATATACACACACACACACACACATTTATCTATCCATCTGAAGACTGAAGGGTGGCTGGAACCCTATTGCTGGGAGGCCACGGTGCAGTGCGCATGCGTGTACGTGAATCCAGTCATTGTAATACTAAATAACTTCATATAAAGTTGACTGATTTGTTTCGGGAACTAATCGTGTTTCTTACGCCGACTTCGTTTACAGAGCCCGGAAAGAGATTCAACTAAAAACCCTTTGTGAAAATAAGGCGACACTATCCAAACTTTATGATTTATTTGTCATTAAAAACAATAACGGGCTGTTAAATGAGCCGTAGTCAGGTTAGCCTGAAGCTGACCCGGCTAAGAGTCTATAACCGAGTTATCACCATGTGCTACTGGCAGCTTTAACCAAGTGAGATTTACTCATAATTTATGTTTACTCCAGCCTTCGTCTAACTTGGTTTGACTGGGTGACATATAAATATATCACTCTCAACAACAGACATTGTAGATATTGCTAGCAAACTTTACCTCGGTCTTTCGGTCTCCGGCAGAAGCGTAGCGGCACATGAAGTACGGTAAGTATTGAGGGCCAAAATTGTAAGACATAAACATACCACATTCTCTCAGTGTCTCAATGATGACGAGACTGAAGTTGAAATAAACTCTAAATATTGTACCATGATATACATACACTGCAATATGGAGAATAATAATGTTAATAGTGCTTAACTGTGATGAATTGTTATTATTATTATTTATGTTTTCGCTGTCGTTTATTCATTTGACTTAATCAGTCTCAGTTTGTCATGTCAAGTGTGCATTTGACAATATTTGGGGAAAAAATAATTAACTGAAATAATTTTTTTTTTTTTATTGCTCCAAGTCCAAGTCCATTTGGTGTTATCTATCTAAAATACCCATTAATCTGGTTTTACATTTTGATTGTAAACTTACTTGTGCTAATTTTATGGACAAAGTAATTGCTCAGCTACCGAATTAAAAAATTAAACGTCTCATAGAGTCACGTTAAATTGTCAAAATAATTGTTGGTTTTCCCTGGGGACATGAAGGCAACGTAATTACAGAAAGGTTGCGGCCACCTGATAGGAGACTAGTGTATCTGCTCTTCCCTTATTGGCTGATTGCATCTCGTGCTCTCTCTGCGGCCCCAGCGGGTACACCACGCTGCGCGTGCGCTTTATCCCTCAGACGCGTCAAGGATGTCGAATCAAGCTGGGAGGGGAACGGAAACAAGAGGATTTTACTCTCAAAATAAAAGCCTTGGCGTTTACATTAAATTGCCCGAACGTCTTTAGTAACCCGCTCCCCCCAGTTTTCTACTGATAACCACGGTGTCACTCATTTCTTACAAAAGTAAAAAGTTGTGTTTGTTGCATATTTTGTTTAGTTTTTTTATCCTTTATGTTCTTCAGAAAGCTTTGTTCAATTGTTGATTGGAATCAAATGCATAGGATTGCATACAAAGTGGCAAAATGTAGGTTTCAGCAACAATAGCAACACTGCGTTAGGCATTGCGAGTGCCTCAAAGTGCCAAAAATGCACTCAATACTTGGCGTGAGAACTGTTTATTCACAAAAAGAACGTTAGTTAATGTGTGAATGACTTTTTTTAATCTTTTATTTTTGTTCTTTTAAGTCGGGTGTATCAAAGTCATGAGTCGTTCATATCTGTAAGAGAGATCAAGGATTGATACCAACATTTGCATCTCATGTCGATAATGACTGCAAAATAGATACAGTAATGTGGTGCAAAAGTAAGCGGACACCTGGAAATAATTAGGCGTGGATCGTGCGAGCTTTTATTTGTGAAGCACACGCCGGAAGTGAAGCAGTTTATTGTGGGGAATTGACCGCCGGCGAGTCTTTGAAAGTCTTCAGTGTGACTTCAGTCCAGGAGAGACTATGTCCGCCGTCGTAGGCAAACTGTACTCACGTCTAATCTCATTTCAAATTAATTCTCCATGAAGTTACAGTAACGTGGGGCCTCCAGGATGGCCAACTCGGTGAGTACCCCGCCAGAGACTTTGCTTAGTCCGTCCGTTTTAGCGAATTTTGGCCCCTTTAATTCGGCCGTTTGGTCACATCGAAGGGCTCGGTGCTTTTGCTCCGTTACGAGGATTTTTAAGCAGCACGGTTAGCTTCAGTCCGTAAGTGCCTCTTGTCAGCCTAAGGCGAGGTTCCGCGAAAAACCCTCGGACTTTAGATATTCAGCCGACAACGACAACACCCCTCTGTATTCACAGAATACTGTGCGGTTATTTTAGATGGTTATAGTCCATCATTGAATTCGGCCGCACGGTCCACCTAATTTGTGACATGACTAAGCGCCAACATTTGGGACATGTCAACTTTCCCTCTCGTGCTATCCGTCTCGTGTAACAGCGGTTTTTCGTTGTCATATAAAGTAAAACATTGTAACTCACTGATAGAATATAAGTTAAAACGTGCACGGATAGCGCCTGTGTTCAGGTTGCACTTTAAGGCTTTAAACAATATTTAGAAATGCTTGAGTATCGCTTGAATGTGGATTGTTGCATTTAAAATTCCGCCGTTTGAACCAATTTCAGCACTAGATTGTGCGCGAGGAAACAAAGCGCGAGTTCAAGTTAAAGTAGCGCCCCGTAGCCGGGAACGAATCCCGCTGTGTAGCTTACAGAAACACGGTCCATTTTTGTGTTTGCTGTTGTTAATTCGGTTGTTTGCGGCAGTTTGTGAGAACCGGCTGTGTGCTGTGGTCCCTCAGGGCGCTGTTCAGGTGAAACTGGAACTCGGACATCGCGCCCAGGTCAGGAAGAAACCCACCGCGGAAGGCTTCACGCACGACTGGATGGTTTTCGTCCGAGGGCCAGAGCACAGCAACATCCAGCACTTTGTGGAGAAAGTGGTTTTTCATCTGCACGAAAGCTTCCCGAAACCAAAAAGAGGTAAATCCCTTTCCCATTTTCTCTCTCTTCGGGTAAAGGCTGGAGGAGGGAGGGGGGACCGGCCCTCGGACATGCTGCTCCTGTGTCCATTTGAGGGCTTTAAGGATGGTGGACATCCGTCTCATCTGTGGATTTAAGTAGAATTTTAACTGGAAGTAGTTGGAGCAGTTTGTGTGTCACTGCTGGAGCGCTTCTCCGCTGTGTTGCTTTGTTTGTTAGCTTTAAATACCATTACCCACCTGAGTGGGTTTGCCAAACAGAAGTGGCCGTGTGTGTTGTTGCGTTTGGAGGTGGATCATAAAGACCTGCACGAGATGGTGATCCAGGAGTCCAGAGTTCAGGCAGATATGTCGGGACCTGTGTTTGGTCAGGAGCTTTTAATGGGAGGCGGTAGAACACGTTTGAAATATGGGAAATGTGGAAACCCAGCGTCTTAGAGCTGAATTCTCTGAAAACTGTCCTGAATTGTCATTTGCCGTCTGCTATATAAGCAAAACATTTCAAAACGTGCCTGTATGTAGAAAAGCAGCGGAGCCCATCCCAAAGAAAACCTTTTTTTTTTTTCTAAAGAAGTGGAGCTTTGATCATTCACAGCTGCTGACCTTTCAAACAACTAAAAAAGAGAGATAATGTTTGTAACCTGAGACCAACTCCCACTTTTCTTTTATTGATAGTAACTTAACACTTCTAAACCGTACACATGCTTGTAAAAGTCACATTTGGTGGCAAAGAGATACTGAATTACTGGATCTAGCTGCACTCGCATGATTCATACACATGAGCATGGAGTGCTTTGGTCTGTGCTGAGAACGCAGCATAGCTGCTCTTGGTTCTTAGGACTTTACATATCCGGACATAAGAAAAAGCACAGTCATTCTAACCTCAGGTGAATAATCTGACGTATTACAGCAAGTCATTTATTTCTGAATCAAAGAGCCAAATACAAAATTCAGAGTTTGGGCTTCAACAGGACCAGGCTGTAGCTGTGGAGCCATACTGTATTTCACAATGTGTCACCATGCCAACCAGTTGTCTACATGTCAAACCAGCTAGATCCAGATGAGTTGAAGGAGGACGTCCCTAAAGCAAAGGAGGAGAGAAACACAGACAGCGGTTAGGTGGTATCTTTGTGAATGTGAGATCAAATAAAAGGGAAAAGGCTGGCATCGTATGAGGGGGGACAGAGACTACAGAGGGAGTGGTACTGATAAAGACGGCTGAGTGGCGTGCTGGCTCACAGCAGATGGTGTTGTCATGGGCCTTTTACTGCGTAGGGAGGCGTCTGCCGCCCGGGCGTTCAGCTGTTCTGTCTGCCCAGGCCCCACGCCATCATCTCAGCACTCCCTCTCCATCCACCGGGCCTTTCCTCAACACTCCTCAGAGTTCCTGTAGTTTGGCGAGTTTGAAAACATCGTCCTTTATTTGGATTCACCTCATTTTAATTTTCTTCTTCAAAAATGTACACAGCAGGAATAATTTTCCCTCTGGGGAAAAAGCAAGCCTCTGTCTTACCCGCTGCTTTCCCATTTCGGGGTTAGTTTTCGATAGGTTGAGTTTGTTGAGAATGTCGTTATTATTTTCAAATGTCGTTTTAGGCCTTAGCGTTGAAGGAAGGTGTACTTATCTGGCTCGCAGGAGCAGGTGAGGCTCAGGCTGAGCTGTCAGACGGTGAGATGTGGCAGGAAGCCGTTGGCACAGCAGCATGGAGGGACGGGGCTCGTTTTCTGTCTTCTGAGCAGTTACTGCCTTTGATCTGCCTGGTGAATAAAATAAAGGCTAGCCAGTCAAACTTTGCCTATCATGCTGTACCTCTGCTGTCTGCGGGGAGCTGTGAGTCAGCAGCCTGTTCTATTCAAATGAGGCCCTAACGGCCCTAAGGTGCAAGAACACCAAAAGGAGTTCAAAAGAACAATGAATACAACAGTTCGCCCAAAGCCACGGTGCTTATTCCTGGACCTGTATCCAAAGCATACGTGGAAGCTGAATGTTGTCCCTTACAGAGGAAGCCCCCGTCTGGTCCCTCCCAGAGTAAGTCATCCTGTGGGACGGTCACACGCGCTTTGTGCCTCCATCACAAAATTCTGTAGAACGGACCCAGAAGAGGGCTCAGCGCTGGAGGAGCCCTGAGAGGGCCACTACAGGCTGCTGATGGAAGGCCGCTGCTTTCTGCTCTGTCTTTTTGCTACTTTACTGCTAATGGAACTCACACTAACTTTTACAGTCGTCACTCACCTGCTGACGACTCACCGTCGGCTCTGAAATGAGATAGGAAACAGTTAAACGCACCATGAGCGCAAAGTAAACGTGTCAGAGGCAATAGAGAGCTCACCTTTAGCTTTAAGTGTGCTGTCTTTGAAGCGCTCAGATAATATTGTATCTTTTATGGACAACTGGGACATTTGTGACGCATTAAACTCTTTGGGCTTGGTTGCGCAGCGTACGGTGACTGGGGGGCTGGACATTAGTCTCCAGGAGGGGAGCATGTGCAGAGGCAAAGGGCCCATCTCAGGCTAAATCGGCCAGAACATCATTTCTCTTCTCCGTCTTTCACCTGGACCGTTCAAAGCACATATCCCCGTATTCTGAGAGCAGGCAGAAAAATCTCCACCTGGATCTTCTCTTT